TTAATGAAACATAATTACTGCTACACTGTATTGTCTATGATTACTTAAAAATAGTTCATGGGGCTGGAAATAAGGCTTAGTGATAGAGTGCTTGCCTAGCATGTATGAGGCCTTGGGTTCGATTCCTCAGTACCAATTACACAGAAAAAGCCAGAAGTGGCACTGTGGCCACTTCCGTGTGGTAGAGCGCTAGCCTTCAGCAAAAGAAGCTCAGAACATGTCCAAACCCTAAGTTCAAGCCCCAGTACTGGCCAAAAAAAAAAAAAAAAGGAGGGCTGGGAATGTGGCTTAGTGGTAGAGTGCTTGCCTAGCATGCATGAAGCCTTGGGTTTGATTCCTTAGTGTCACATAAACAGAAAAGGCCAGAAGTGGCATTATGGTTCAAGTGGAGAGTGCTAGACTTGAGCAAAAGAAGCTCAAGGACAGTGCCCAGGCTCTGAGTTCAAGCCCAAGTACTGGCAAAAAAAAAAAAGGGGGGGGGGTCACAGTGTTTTGTTTTTGGCTATCTTAAATATAAAGATACTTGCTTTCCCCTCCTGTATTAGGTAAACTATTTTTTAAAAAAGAAAAATACTATTTTATTTAAAAGAAGGTAAAAGGCACTGAAACATTTCATTAATATATAATCTCATAAATAATATAGCCCATCTGAACATAGTGAGGAAAAACAACAAAGTACTGTGTATAAAAGTGGGCAGAAAAATCTAACCAATTCATTGGATAATGGTAATATTCATATATTCTCTTTGAACTGAATGTCTGCTTCAATAGTAAATCTCACATTTCTCTGATTCTATGCCCCTTTTTAACTATTAACATCTCAGAATTAGCCAGTATTTGGGCATTTTCTAATTCTGAATGGCTTCTTACACCAATGGCATCTCATATTCAATGAAATACAATGTTGCCATGAAACAAGTTTAAATGTGCAGCTCTATAAAGTGCGATCTTTAAGTTAAAAATACTAAATCAATTAAGTGAAGCAATGAAAATCATAGGACAAGAGGACTTGCTTTGGTAGAATGAATTAATCATAATGAAAAGATTTTTTATCAATGCAATAATACATGAAGTTATTTCCAGAGTTTTAAGTTCATAATTTCAAACTATTTCTATTTTGTAATACTCCCTCCCCCCACCCTTTGCCACTTTTGTGCCATTACCAGCAGGGCTTCAACTCAGGGCCAAATCATGCTCTCATTCACTTTCTTGCTCACTGCTGGCATACTACCAATACTACCACTTAAATCATGCCCAGCTTTTTTTTTTTTTTTTGGGGGGGGTGGGGGGAGGGAGTTCTGGGGCTATAACTCAGGGCCTAGGCACTGACCCTGAGCCTCTTTCTTTGTGTTCAAGACTAGTGCTCTACCACTTGAGCCACAGTGCTACTTCCGGCCTTTTCTGAACAGTTTATTAGAAATAAGAGTCTCTTTGCAGGGAAACGGATGGAGCTAGAAGAAATCATGTTGAGCGAGGTAAGCCAAGAGCAAAGAGACAAAAGGTATATGGCCTCCCTGCTAAGTGATGTTAAATCCAAAATGTTAGTTGATACGATAAAATTAACAGGACTTAAGAAACAAAGGACTTCCACTCATCTGGTCGAATCACTACCAAATAACCCCATGCTGCTGATCACATGTATGGTATATATATGTACACCGGAGGGAAACCAGGAAGATGCCACAGAACTAGAGGGAATCAGGGAAAAACATATAACAGCGGGACCTATCAGCTGCACTGGACATTGACCAAAATGAACTAAGCAACTTAATGGCAGCGATGGGAGGGAGGGAACAAGTAGGAAAGAGGGAACAGTTGATGCTATGCAAAACAAAAGAAATGTACATACCACCCCATGTGGAAGAAGTAGCTGTATCGCAAAGCTCATAGAACTCATAAATGTTATAGACCATGATAGACAATTTGCTCCAGGAAAGTTAGAATGTGTTTGTGACTTTAACTAAGCATCACTATCCCACAATACTGTGAAATTTGGGAAATTATGTAACCACTTAATCCCAATAAAAAATTTGAAAAAAAGAAAGAAAGAAGAGTCTCATGGACTTTCTTGCCCAGGTTGGCTTTGAACCGCAATACTCAGATTTCTTGAGTAGCTAGGCTTACAGATGTGAGCCATCAGAGCTCTGCTTAGCCCAGCTTTTTGCTGGTTAATTGGAGATGGAGTCTCCCAATTCTTCAAACTTGGCTGGCTTTGAACCTCCATTAGGAGATATTAGCCTCCTGAGTAGGTAAGATTACAGGAGTAAGCCACTGGTTGTCTTTTATGTAATACTTAAAAATTGTCTACCCTATACTGAAATGAAATTTTAATAGAGCATTCTACTCATAATATGATCCAGATTAAGACTACTTAGGTATAAAATCAGTTTTTATTTACACTGTCTAGCGTATTATATACACTGAACTTAAGTCCATGCACAAAATATTGAAAGACATTAAAAAATTGTGGTTCTGTCTACAAGTGATTTTTTTTTCTTTTGGTCAGCCCTGGGCACTCTTCCTAAGCGCCTTTTGCTCAGGCTAGCACTTGACCACTTCAGCTACAGCATCACTGCTGGCTTTTTCTGTGATCAACTGGCCTCATGCACTGTTGGAAACCGTCTGTTTTTTGTTGTTGTTTGCTTTTTGGTTAATCATGGGGCTTGAATTCAGGGCCTGGCACTGTCCCTGAGCTTTCCTGATCAAGGATCGTATTCTACCAATTTGAGCCACAGCTCCACTTCCAGTTTTTTGGTGGTTAGTTGGTGATAAAGTCTCCTGGACCTTCCTGTCTGGGCTGGCTTTGAACCTCAAACCTCAGATCTCAGCCTCCTAAGTAGCCAAGATTGCAGTCATGAGCCACCAGCACTGGCACAAAAAAGTGATCTTGCCAGGTACCAATGCCTCATGCTTGAAATCCCAGCTACTCAGGAGGCTGAGATCTGAGGATTCCTATTAGAAGCTAGCCTAGGGAGGAGAGACCATTTCCCCCGCCCTCCCCCCCCCCCCCCCCCCCCCACATAGCCAGAAGAGAAGCTGTGGCTCAAGTGGTACAGAACTAGCTTTGAACTCCCAGGCCCTGAATTCAAGCCCTAGGACCATCACACGACCACCCCTCTCCCCCCCCCAAAATAGTGCTCTTACTTTTTAAAACCTGTGGCTATAGTTCACTTACACAGCACAAGCTTAGTAAGCCCAAGGCCCTGAGTTCAATCCCTAGCACAAAACAAAACATGTACCTCCATGTGACTCAGTGCCTCATGTAGTTGCTGGCTGCAGCACCCCCAATTACTGGAGTAAGTAGCTGGGTTCTTCTTTAAGTATTCCTAATTGCCATCATTCTAGTGACAGAATGGTAAACAAAAGCATTAAAGTGTGGTAGGTCCTAGGCCAAACTGATCTAAGTGAAACAGTAAATTTCTTTCTCCTGCACTGAAAAAAAACTGAGAATGGAAATACCAATTTAGGAAATTTAGCACAAAACTGAATAATTTCCTTTCACTTAAACACTATGTAACAAATCAAAAGACAAAGCAGGAACACGCACACAGCAATTTCTAGTTAGCGCTTTTGGAAGTGTCATGTTTTCCAGATACAGCGTTAACAACTGATTGGATAACTTTTACCCTCTAGAACCTTCAAACTACTACAATTCACTTACTTTCTTCACAAAATAAGCCATATGAAGGTCAAATAGTGATGAGAACTTTGGGATCAAAACATCACTAAAAAGTTTGATATTTTAAAAAAGTGCTGCTTAGTCCAAGTGAAGTGAATATCACTTAGTTTTAATAACAGTAAATGCAACTTAGATAAATGGAGAGGAATTCTGGTTAATATAGTTTCCTTCAGGACAAGGTCTTTATCTTCCTGAATATCAAATCTTTGCACAAATGTCTCGGTTCTTTCTCACTAATTAAGACAAAGATCTGAAAACTCAAATTACTAAAAAATAAATACCACTTAAATATTTCTACTGTCACATGCTTATCCAGATAACAAAATGTATCAAGTACTACTTTTATTTAAACCCTGTAAGGAAGATGTTATTTTTGGCCAAGGACTTGAAAGTTCTTAGAGCTCTCTTGATCATTTAAGGAAGCTAAAGGAAGTGTTTAGCATAGTCTGTCATTTTTGGAGACTTTATAAACATAGCTTAGGAATTTCAGACAAATAGACAACATGACTTTGTTGGAAATGCATAGGAAAGCAAATAAGTAGCCATTCACAGAATTAAATGAAAGCCTTCCATAAAGAAACGGGAAAGCACTGATGCTTAACCTATATATTTACTCTATATGGGAAACTTAAAAGAAAATGAACAGCAAATAAAACTTAATTAGGAACCAACCCCAGTTTACCCTGGAGGCTAACCTGAACAAGTGTGGCCCACAGCCTACAGAACAAACAATGGACACTTCGTTCCTTGTATAGAAGCTAGGACACCTTTAGTATCACCAGTACGCATCCTGGGCAATTAAGAAATCCATAAGAACTAGTAAGTTCTTCAGTGCTAGTTCTATGAAGAATAGCACATGCAATACAGCCTTTATGTGAAATCTGCCTCCATGCTACATCTGGCTTCAGGCATAACTGTACTAAGAACAAACTGCCACCTGCCAATGTATTCCTTTACAATATTTCTTACTCTACCTTCATTAAGACTAAGAATTAAAGGTAAATCAATATTTGCCAAATTTGCCAATTTTCTATCAAGTTTTAAAGAACATTTTATTACCTAAACTTTTTCTTAACTTTCTAGGTTTCTCTGTATGTGCACAAAGACTTAGAGAAACAGAAAAAGTCCTCATGACATAATAAACGTACACAGTAGTACACACACACTAATGAGACTGCATGATTTTTACACCTACACGTGCTTCTACCACTGTTCATCATTCTTAATATAGGAGTGATAAAAGTTTCACAACTAAGTACATGCTACTAATGATTCATGGTTTTAAGAATTTATAGGTCAAAAAAATACAATTCCTAGAACATTGTTATCAAACAAGTAAGTTTTATTGGCATCTAAAAACAAAATTCACCCAACATTGAAACGTACTTTAATATTTATGTTATTTTCTTCTTTTTTTAACTTACTGCAGTATGAGGAACAAATCATACACACTTACTTTGGAGTAACAGAGACCATAGTGTAGATTTTACAAAATCACTTTTTAAAAAATCTCTGTATTATGCTCCTCAAATATCTACAGCCAGTCTTCGCATAAAATATCACAGCTTTGTCTATTACCTTAAAATTCTGCAGCAGCCTAGAGATATGGGTAAGATATACTACCACTTGCTAGTTCGAAATATATCGATTACCATATCCAACCTAATGATAGTATCTAAAAAACTCTTTCTTCCATAGGAAGTCTCTGACAAGCTGTTATTCATTTCCTCAACATTAAAAGAATCTGGGGCAACATTTATATTTTTATCCGAAAAATAAAAAAAAAATGTTTACCTACCATGTTCATACTAAGAACAATGTCTATACAAGTCAGTTGTACAATTATTGTAAGAGCAAGGTGACATGAACATCAGATTAACTTAATTGTGGCAGACAAAAGTGAACAACTACGGTCCGGTCAGCCATCAATCTATTACAGGGATGACAACTTTACAAAAGGTATCTTTTACCTACTGAGTGATGATTATGTCCCCTCAGTTTCTGTGCTTTCTACCACCACTGGTTCACTTTCTACATCAGCAACTGTGTCACTCTTCTCCTTGTTTATCTCATTTGAAGATGTCAGTTTTTCATAAAGTTCAGGATCGTTCTGTACTGGAACTGGCAAAGGCGGTGGCTGAGCATGTCTCTCTGTATTTTCACCATTAACCTGAGGCACGTTATCAACTTTACGTTGGGAAGTGGCCCCTTCAAAATAATCAAAAACCCGAGCATGAGGAGGGGGGACCCAAGTGTTTTGAATTCTATCACGTCCAAGACGATTTCCGTTCATTTCTCTGCAGAAATCAAAATCTCTGTCGTCCCTATCCCTTTGCCTTTCCCAGGGTCTTCTGCGGTCATCAAAATCTCTGTGAACTTCTTGTCCAAATCCTCGGTTCCAAGGACCACTTCTAGGATCAAAGCGAAAGGTTCCAGCCCGAAACCTTCCTCTTTCTTCATGTAAGCCTTTTGGACCACCAAAAACAGGGAGAACCCGATGCTCTCTCTCATCAAAATCTCCTCTCTGCCCCCAAGGCTTCTCTGGAGTAAAAGCAAAGTGGTCTCTTCGACCAAGATGATCTATACCTGGTCTTACAAGATTCTCCCTTATGTCTATAGGAGGTCGTCCAAAATGATCCCTACCATCTACTGGAGGCCTTCCAGGACCTTCTCTTGGATCTATAGGCCGTCCAACCACATCCCTAACATCCATTGCAGGAGGCCTACTAATGCCTTCCCTGCTTTCTACCGGAGGAAACCGGTAATCTCGATCTCCTTCTTGTTGAACACTGTCATTCCCAAGTGGAATTCTTTTGTCTGGATTGGTAACGTGGTCTACATTTTGTCTTCCAGGCGCTAGAAAAGGTCTTTCTGGATGACTGAAAATATCTCCTGGAGGAAAAGGTCCCCGGGGCGGTGGGTGAAGAGCTGAGTCCAGGACCACTGGGGGAGGGATACCCCGCTGGGGCGGAATTCCAGGCTGAATTAAAGGGAATCTTGGTCCAGGTGCCTGTGGTATTAGTCCGGGACGAATGTCCAACATTGGCAATGCAGGCATCCTTTGACTAGGGATATTCAGAGGGGGCAAGTTTTGAGGTCCAGCTGGTGGCTGCGTTCCCAAAAGTCCGGAAGTATTTGTGACACTTGGTGGCTGTATTCCTCCAAGTCCAGAACTGTTAGGCAGACCAGGAGGCAGCACACCCAGAAGTCCAGAACTACTCGACACATTTGGTGGCTGTATTCCCAAAATTCCAGAATGATTTAAGATATGTGGTGGTTGTGCTCCAATAATCCCAGAACTGCTGGAAACATTTGCTGGCCGAACCCCAAGAATTTCAGAATTACTTGGTACATTTGGTCTTTGGGCTCCCAGAATTCCAGAATTACTCGTCACATTAGGTGGCTGTCCTCCTAAAATCGCAGCATTAGTTGGAATATCATTTGGAATCGCTAAGACAGAAAGAGAAATAATCCAAAATATTACTTATTCTCATATGAAGAAATTGCGTTTATAAATTACTCATGCGACAACCTCTAGTAATTACCTTACAGTTAATCAGCGATTTTTATCCCCCAAGAATCAAGCTACACTTGACACTGAAGAAAACTTAGGAAGGATTTTATGATATAATTCAATGGTACATACAGAACTTGTCTACGCTGCATAAGATCCTAGGCTCCAACGCCAGTATCATCAAAACAAATACCCAAGCAGAACTGTTATCTAATTTCTCACAAAATCTTTTTAAACAAAATTTCAGACTTCATAGTGCTTCTCTACTTTTAACAGCCTTTCTACAGAGTAATTCTTAAAACAGCAATAACAGGACCATAACCAAAGGACTTAAGGCTTTCATACAGTACATTTAATTTTCTAGTTTTAGCTGCATAACACCTGGTAGAAAAGTTTTTCATACATAGTATTTATTCCTTTTAACTGTCACTATACATATGCAGAGTCTGTTGTAGTCTTATTTTGACAGGAATAGGCCAAAAAGTGTGTGAGAAGGAATCTTAAAGGAAAAGTTAAAATCTGTATCAAAAAGGTGGTCAGTTTTTAAAAGAAATCCAAGTTACAGGACACCAGTAACCTTTTTCAAAAAACAAAAAGCAAACAAACAAAAAAAAACTACGCTATTTCAACATGTGTGCAATGAACACCCCAGATAGCAAATTGAAAAGAAATGCTTATGGAGTTTATGCATTTCTAAAGACTTTGTTTCTTTTTACCTGGTCTGGTGTTTTCACCAGAGGAAATCTGATGTTCTATAAGATGAGGTACTTTGTCTTCAGGCTCTGCTTGTTTAGTTGGAGGATTAAAAACATTTCCAGCTGGTAGAGCGGAAGGAGCTAGACTGCCGGCAACAGAACCACCTGGCAGAACAAGGCTACCAAAGCCAACATCTTTCACAGTTTCTGGGGCCATGGACAATGGTGGTTGCACTAAAGCTGTTTGAAAGGGAGGAAAATGTATTTCAGATTGAATCAGCCGATCGATTCATGTCTAAGTTTGCTGGCAGTTTGAGAGCTTTCCTTAACAGCATCTCTGTATTACAGGCACTACTCTAATAAACTAATGCTCAAAATGACTTGTCATCATGAAAAGACAACATTACATATTTACAAAGTTTTACTTTCTAAAAATGGAAAACCAACTCTTTTTAAAACCATTTTTTTCACCAGAAATGGTCAATAAAATAAAAACTAGTAGTGAAGAAGCAAATTCTAGAAATAAAAAAATTATTCTCTCAAGGAAGTCAGGTAACTATCTCTACATATAAAGAAACAATTAGCACACACTGAAAAATAAGTATCAAAATCTCCTAGGAACGATCACATCTAGGGTCACATTCATTGCATTTTTGTCCGGTGAAATTAGAAACTGATCAGAACAGGCAAGGTAGACTACAAATATAAAGCAATATGCACTCTGTCTTAAAGAATTTATAAAATCCCTAAGTACATACATAGCCCCCCCTCTCTTAGATTTTTTTCTTTCTTTTTAAAGCAGAACTAGTAGAATAAATCTCTAGCTATATCACAACACAGTATGTCCTGTGTGGAGAGTTAAGAGAGTCCTGCATCGAGTCCTGCTTTTTCCTCACATTCACTGCCAGTATCACCTGGACAGGCTTAGCACAGAACAGAACTAGGAAGGGGGGAGCCACCTGTGATCACAAACAGGAAGCACCAGATTTAAAGGAGCAGTGCATCATCAAATCCTTCTCTGTAGCTGAGCACAGGTTTCCCAAAGTTAATAATAAAGCAGGAATAACCAAAAGGCAGGCTCTAGCACTAGCCTATGAGAATAATGAATTCAGATTTTGAATACTTTGTCTAATTTTCAGAAATAATACTTCAAAATTAACAAACAATAAAAAAGGAAGGATTCCAAAGCTACCTAAACATTGAGAGGAAAGCATTTAAGAATACATGGAAAATGGATTCAATTTTAAAAAGTTAAGATCTCTATTTATTATACATACTCTTTATAATAAGGGCCTTTGGGGGTCTAATTTTTGAAGTAGGCTCGCCCAAATTACTGAAGGTTTGTTCAGAAGCCTGAAGAATTACTGTAGATAAAAAGTAGAATAGAAGGGAAAAATGAATAAAAGGGTGTGTTTAACATTTGTGAAATGTCCAACAACAGGAAAAAGGAAACAGGAATTAGAAAGTTAGTATGTCTGTAAATATTTACATTTGAGACTTGCATTCCTTTTGAAGTATTTATTCTAATAAGAAAATATAGATGTAAAACCAGGTAGGGGGAGATACACATTCCATGGAAATGTTTTTTAAAAAAAAAGTTGTGTATGAAGGTGCCACAACTACAAGGCGAAATGAGTTCAGGGGACCCTGGGTAACAGCAGTTTGGTTATACATAGTGAATATGTAGAGGATAGGGAACAGTCGAGAAACCTAGTTTCATCCTGAAGTCTTGAAATGGACTGCGATTGTATATGTAAGTATATAGTACAGGAGAATGAAAATAACTGCGTTTTTTTAGCAGGAAAAGAGGCAGCTGTAGTTATAAGTCCTACAAATTGTATTTGTTCAATAGGTTAGAGTCCTATTACTTTTTTCTTTTCAAGGTATGTATTTTCTAGCTTTGGTCACTGAAAACTTATAGGGCCAAATGAAATCCCAAGAAAAAACTAAAAATCTGGTATCAGAAAGTGGTCTTTCAACTGTGTATGGGGGGAGGGGGGGGGGGGGAATGTTAATCCCATTTAGAGAAATGGCTGATTCTTAGACCCAGCAGAAAGACAGTGTCAACTGGAGACCTAATGGGCAAAAATACTACAATGCCCTTAAAAAAAAACTAATTATAACACAAATGTAGGTATTGCAAAAGCATGGACAAAACAGTCAAAGATCTCCCAATGCCCAAAGATGAAACAATTAGAAACTTAAAAGTAACAATGAATGACTGGGAGTTAAAAATCTATTCATACAGCACACACAAGAAAAAGGAGAAGAAGGAGGAGAAGGAGAAAGAGGAGGAGTAAGAAAAAGGAAGAAGAAGGAGGAAGGAAGGATGAGGCAGGGAATGGAAGAGAGGAAATTAGAAGAATCACTCTTTCCCTTTCAATCACTGGAAACTGCTAGCATCACCCACAGAACTAATTCACCATCGAAAAATAGCAAATAAAGCAAAGGTTTAGCATCTAACTCGGCTTTCCTATTCAGAACTTCAACATAACTACCATTAACTGATAAGAGATCATTTTTCTTTACCAAGCATTTTTTTTAAAACAAAAAATGTAAAAGGAACTATTGAAAGACAGCCCTCTGCTATTAATGACAAACTGACTTAGGGACCAATGATCACTGGATAAAGCCATTATCTAAAAATCAAAGAGAAACGCTAGAAACAAGCAAGTTCCTGCTAGAATGCTCTGGTCCATCTTAACAACACTAATGTGATGCAAGCCCCCAGGAGTATATTCTCTCCAACATCAACTCTGGATGTGGGTAACATGGCATGTCACTGTGGGTTCATCAGTTGTGACTAGGTACCTCTCTGGGATGGGCGATGATAACCGGGAAAGATGGGCAGGTGGGAAATTTCTGTACTTGCCGTTCAACTTTACTGAGTGTCTACTGGCTCTGAAGCCTATTTTCTTTTTTTAATGGAACAGAAAAAACACTGCATAGCTCCTGATGTAATGAAATACTAAGTTTTGGGCATTTTGCTCATCATGAAGAATTATGAAAAGCAAAGGAGGATTGAAGGATACCCCTAGATGAAGACATTTATAATAAACAGGGCAAAATAAAGCAAAAATATGATGAGAAGACACTCTGAATTTGCACCGAAATAAGTCAATTATAAAATGATATGCTTCAAGACAACAGCAAACATAAATTAAAAACTATCATGATATTTAACTTTCAAAACTCACCTAAAAAATGCATTTGTTTAAAAACATTCATAATTTTAAAAACTAACCATAGCCACAGGAATGAGAGCCAACATAACAATACCACTGAAAGAAAGAGAAATCTGTCAGTAGAAAACTCACATGTTGGTACTACTGGAGGGATTGCAGGGGGTGGTACCACAGGTGGAGGGACTGGAGGTGGCATGAAACCTACATGGAAACAAGAATAGCAGAAATAAGACAGCACAAGAAAAAAAATGACTGGTTTTAGATCAAGATCTTAACAACTGTAAAATTCTACACTGCTCTTTTTGAGTTGGGAGTGGGGGGCGGGGGAGGGCACAGGGTGTTGTCTAGTTATGCTGTCCAGGTTCAATTCCTGGACTGAACTAGTGGATTCTTCTGCCTTAGTTTCCTGAGGAGCTGTGTAATATGTGAAATCATGTATTCTTTTTTTTGACAGTCTTGGGGCTTGAACCCAGGGCATGGGCACTGTCCTTGAGCTTCTCTTACTCAAGGCTAATACTGGACCACTTGAGCCACAGTACCACTTCTGGCCTTTTCTATTTATGTGGTACTGAGGAATTGAACTCAGGGCTTCATGCATGCTAGGCAAGCACTCTACAACTATGCCACATTCCCAGCCTACACATTCTTAAAATAGCCTTTTACTTCATGTCCTTATATTTGTGCTTATACTTTCCATTAAAAAAATGGAATACTGCCTTATTTGAGCCCTACTAAGCTAGATAAAACAAAGATTCTGATCTTAAGTACATTTTATTTGTTTATTCACTCAAGTCCTGGAATATGCTGTATTGCTGCTCTAAAATCAAAGGCTAATACAAGCCAGGTAATTTGTTTAAGTCAGGACAAGAGCTGTTTAGCGTGAGTGAAGTCCTGAGTTCAAAACCCAGTACCAAAAGATACAACCTCTGCCTGGAGCTTAATCATATTACATGTAATTATGTCATCTGTCAAACATGCTACTTTGATATACATGCTGTTTACTCTCTATATCAAATAACTTTTCAGAGGCTTAGATGACACTCTTATGTTTTCAGTACTAGAGTAAGTTTATCTGAATACTGGCAGATGATGACAGATCAAATGACCAAACTATAAACCTGGCTCTTTGCATTTTAAACACAGCTACTACTATAGTCCATTACACAGAGATTAAAAATAAAATTTAAAGATGTAATTTTTTTTTTTTTTGGGAGGGGTCAGTTGTGGGGCTTGAACTCTGGGCCTGGGCGCTGTGCCTGTGCTCTTCAGTTCAAGGCAAGCGCTCTACCGCTTGAGCCACAGTGCCACAGCGCCACTTCCAGTTTTCTAGTGGTTTATTGGAGATAAGAGTCTCATGGACTTTCCTGCCTGGGCTGGCTTTGAACCGTGATTCTCAGATCTCAGCTTCCCGAGTAGCTAGGATTATAGGCGTGAGCCGCCAGCGCCTGCCTTAAAGATGTAATTTTTAAAGAAATGAATGGCATATACTATTATTGTTCTAAATCTGAACTTAGCTGTTCCTTGAATAATAGTGGTTTGTCTTGAAACACTGAAATAAAGTATGTCACTGTAAGTAAAAAAAAAAAAAAAAGACAATGACAAAATCACTTTTTAACGTCAAAATTTTAACAAAAATATTAAATATAAAAAATTAAACTAGCCAGGGACCAGTGGCTTACACCTGTAAGCCTAGCTACTAGGGAGGCTGAGATCTGAGGACATGGTTCAAAGCCAGCTCAGGCAGGAAAGTCTGTGAGATTCTTATCTCCAATTAAAAAATACCAGAAAACTGGAAGTAGCACTGTGGCTCAAGTAGCAGAGCACTGGCCTTGAGCTGAAGAGCTCAGGGAGAGCGCCCAGGCCCAGAGTTCAAGCTCCATGACTGAAAAAAAAAAAATTAAAAAATTAAACTATGAAAAAGACAAAATTCTTAGTAACATCTTTCAAGTTCAAATTATGTGTAATATGGTAATTTAAAATTTTTTTGTGGGCTGGGAAGGTGGCTCGGTGGTAGAGTGCTTGCCTTGCATGTGTGAGGCCCTGGGTTCAATTCCTCAGCACCACATAAGCAAAAAGAAAAAAGCCGGAAGTGGCACTGTGGCTCAAGTGGTAGAGCACTAGCCTTGAGCTGAAGAGCTGAGAGACAGCGCCCAGGCCCACAACCAAAAACAAAAAAACAAAATTTTTTTGTTACCCCAACAAATAAATTACAACTGCTCTCAGGTGATGAATTTATTGTTCCACCTCCCAATTGTTGGGACTACAGGCAAGAACCACCATTTGTTGCATACTTCAGATTTTTGTTGAGTTTTTAGGAACTTGGCTATTCAATGGTAAAGAATTAAATTCCAGAAAGCAAAGTACTCTTTTTAATATCCTAACAATCTGGAGGCTAAAAAACTTTCTGAATTTTGAGAATTAGATCATTTAATCCCTGTACCTCTCCCCTTCATTCTTCGAACTTCTCACAGTGTGATATAAACGCACTAGTTCTAATTATATAAGCCATTATGTACAGTTCAAGATTACGATGTGTGTCATTTAACTCAGTTTTAACCTGGAAACACTGATTCAGGGAACTTTTATCAACAATTATTATTAGCATATAAACTTTGGATCATGTATAAGGATTTTGGGGGTTTCCTTCTCCTAGCCACTTGAATGCTGAAAATAAGTTAGTGATGAGGCTCCATGGTCCCTCCCTCTCAGATCTGGGGGAAACAAAAACTGTTGACTGCATCTAGCAATTTGTGCTCAAACAAACCCTGAAGGCTGTCTTGATGTGTGCTAAATAGGCGAGAGAAGCATAGCTGTATGGCACTGAGACATGGAGAAAGAACAGTTTAGAGACACTGTCAATGGAATTTGAATAATGAGATGAAAATTACTTACCAGGAGGTGGCTGTGAAGGGTTAAAGCTTGCTCGCAGAAAAGGAGGCGGAGGGATAGGACTGAATCCAGGAGGGGGCACAGGCATTGACACAGGAAACGTTGGTGGGACTAAACTAACTGTCGGCACTGCAGGTGCTACTGGAATCTTTGTAGGTAGAAAAAAAGGTCTATTAATTGGCTTCTTCACCTGCAATGATTACGTCCTGTCATGACTAAGATGCAGTGTGTATGAAGTTAAGCTCTTGCTTCAACACCTTATACATTCATGATTCAGACCCACGCAATATTATTCAACAATTTACTTAAGAGATTGTGAGGACTTTTTTGTTTTCAGATGCACTGTAATCAGCATCTAGTTGAATATGGAATATCAAGCTCAATTTTCCACAGCCATCTCTCACTAAGTTTAGTAATACCTGTGTATGTTTTATCCCCACAGAACAATGGCAGTAAAAGCTTTGAGATAGCTTAACTTTCCCACATAATTTCCAGTTTCGGCATAAGCATCTCTTACTCATCCTAGGAACTTAAGCCCAAGTAATCATCTGTAGCACAGCTTTATCTCTCTTCCTCAATGTCACATATTATCAACTATCTAACAAGATCTTACCTTGCTACCTAAAAGGCAGATACTTCAAACTTAACATGTATTAGACAAATAAATTCCCATGTTTTCCCCCAAGTTATTTACTATTCTCAGATAACGGGAGCTCAATCCTTTCAATGTCTCAGACCACAAATGTGGTCCCTGCCTTATTTTCACAACTCCAAACAAATCTGAACGACCAATGGTACTTCCAGAACGCGTCTAGTGTGCAGCATTTCAGGTTACTTGCATGGCAAGCAGTCTTGTTAGTCAGTCTCCCAGACTGCTGTCATTTTGGCTGGACAGCTACTATGATCAGATCTCACTACAGCCTATTTTCCAAACAGTAGCCAGTGTAATTTTTTACAGGTGCCAGATCAGGTAATATCATTCCTCTGATTAAAATCTCCCATGGCTCACTTCATGAGGAACAAACCCAAACAAAGCCCATTGGAGAGGTTTCTCTTCAACCTTCTCATTGGCTTTATTCCTGCAACTTCTATGCTCTCATCTTCCTGGAGCACACCAACTGTGCTCCCAGCAAGGGCCTTCTCCCTGGCACTCCCTCAAGCGGGAAGGCTCCTCCTTAGATATCAACGTGGTTTCTTCTGTAGCACCTTTAAGTTGTTGCTCAAATGCTGCCTTCTTAATAATGCAATGACCTATTCTGACCATTGTTTTAAAAATTCTAAGCACCTGTCAGCCACTCCTCAGTGTTACATAGGATTTCATACTCTCAATTTACGTTCCTGTCTCATCTACTAGAAATGGGAATCCTGTCAGGGCAGGGACTTGGTTTCCACTGATGTATCTCTAACTCCTAAGGTTCCTAGAACAGTACAGGCCTCATGACTGCACTCAATAAACATCTAATAAACACTTAAATATGAATGAAACCATTTCTAAAAATAATTTCTTTCAAATTTTTTTTGTAGGTTGTGGGGCTTGAACTCTGTGCCTGAGTGCTGTCCCTCAGCTCTTCAGCTCAAGGCTAGTGCTCCTACCACTTGAGCTACAGCACCACTTCTGATTTCCTGGTGGTTTTATTGGAGATAAGAGTTTCATGGACTTTCCTGCCCAGGCTGGCTTTGAACCATGATCCTCAGACCTCAGCCTCCTGAGTAGCTAGGATTACAGGGTGAGCCACCGGCACCCGGCTTAAAAATGTTTCGAGAAAGCTCACTGATACAACTTACTGTTTTATCAATTTGATTTTTCAGAAAAACAAATCTAAACAAAACTATCATCAAAACAGAGATCATTTATTTAGCACAATATTATAACTAACAAAACCTTTTTGTTAGAGCTGGTACTGGGGCTCAAACTTAGCTTTTTTGCTCAAAGCTAATGCTCTACCACCTGAGCCACAGCTCCTGCCTGAGCTGGCTTTGATACACAAGCCTCAGATCTCAGCCTCCTGAATAGGATTACAGGCGTGAGCCACCAGCACCCAGCAAGTAGAACTTTTTTAAAAGAAAAATCATTTGCCTAACACTCCTGGACAAGAACTCGTTCGAGTTTGGACATTTTCCTCCAAGTTCTACACAGGAGTCAAGCAGAAATGTAAAACAACACATTTGCAAAGCCCCCCATCACTGACCTGCAACATGGCAACCGGTGGAGGGAAAACCTCTGCCTGCGTTGTGACCACAGTCTCTTTTTCAACTGGAGTTGGACTCTGTGTGGTCTGGACAGTCTCTTTAACTGGCTCTGAACTTTTCACCGTTTCCCACTCTAAACAAAATATTTGAAATTGATTTCATTTGGACAAATATACCTTTTCAATTTTTCCTATGTATACATGTATCTATTTCACACCTAAATCCTTCATCTACCACAAAAATCTTGCCCAAAATTTTATTTAAGGTACATACTAAGGAGTCCTAAAGAAGACACCTAAGAAACAAACCCAAGATCTTAAAATGTTTAGTCTAAAGAACACTTGGAAGAGGCATAATGGGAAACACATCTCAAAGGCTTTCTGATACAAAGGCCAACATAATTATTACATGGGAGACAAAAAAGAAAGTATGAACCCAATACATAAATGTCCTCCTGAAGTACATCTCCGCAAATCAGAGAGGATCTAATACATCTTCCAAGTAACACCAGGGAGGCTGCCCCATGAACCTTGGCTTCATCTCCTACGAATCCTGCTCATGCTGTTTGAACTACACCGACCTCTGCATTCTGAATACAGACTGTGCACTTTCTGTTCCCTCTGAATAGAAGGATCTTTCCCCAGATGGCAGGCACCCCTCCACATACCACTTTCTCCAACAGATTCTGTCCATTGAAAACACTACAATACCTAGACATCCGTGCAGTGTGTGTCCCTTTCTGCTCTTCTCCTCATCTTATCAACACAGAAATCCCATTTAGCTCTTTATCTATTTCTTTCACTAGAACATAAGGTATTTTCTATATTAGGTATTACTGGCTTTGTGGGCCATGTCCTGTTGAACAGATGGTGTTACAAAAAGAAAGTCACACAAAACAGGTCAATAAATGAGTGTGGCTATTTCAACCACACTCTTTTTGCAGGACAGGATACTGGCAGGATTAGGCCTATGACTATGATTTGTCAACCTCTGTGCTCCTCAAGAGTAATTATTTTTGCTTTCTGTCCCTCTGCCATAATTCCAGTTCCTGAAATTAGGCCTGACACACCAAGAACTAAAATGTTTTTTGGGGGGTGTAGTGATAAGACTGGAACAGAACTCACAGCCTCATTCAAACTAAGCACATGCTCTGCTATTAAGCTATATACCCAGCCCAAACACAACATAAAATGTTTGAAATTTTCCTTATTAGACTGAAAACTAAAATACTCTGAAATTAATGATGAGGGCTAAGATGTAAAGAAATAAGGTATATATCACATTTCAGTTCTTTCCAGGAATCAATTATATTTTCTGTCTATAACTGATGACCAATCACCTTTCACATGTATGAGAATCTTTAAAAATGAGACAGATTTTAAAGAACAAGTCTGATAATCATCAGGCTATGGGTGTGGTGAGGGCTGTTATTACTGACTCAGCCCAGGCGTCTGCCATTCAGCTCCATGTGCCGACTCTGTTCCTGCTGTCTTCAACACGGACTACTTAAGACTCTTAAGTTCCTCAAGTGCTCAATTCCCACATAAGCGCAAGGAGTAAATAACATAATAATAAGATGTATGGAGGCTCAATAAGCCTCCATAGTTCTACTTCTAGAAAGCATTCAGGAAAAAGTTACATTTACAGACTTCTAATTTATATCCTTTTTAAAGATATATTTTGACACCTATGAAATAGAACATGTTAAACACAGGAGTAATAAACATGGAGTTGAATACAAAAAATAAACACAGCTGACACTAACTTTCAAGTCATAGTTAGCAAAGTAATGAGATGACTTTAGTGTTCTTACCAGTATTTACAGTTTCCTGATCAATCATGCCTCCTTCTGCAAAACCGTCCAAGTCATCCACTTTAACTTTTTCCCATGGTATATATGTAACTCCAAGATCTACATCCCAAAACTGTTTGTATTCAGTTTTTACACCTTTGTTTAGAGCCCAAGCAATCTATTGGGAAGAGGGAAGAAAGCAAAACTCAAATTTATACTGTAACAATCATGTAAAAAGTTCAAAATTATATTCAAACAAGTCAAAACAAACTTAGTTTTGCTTTTGGAATTGTTTCATGTCTTCATTAAAGACATTATAAGATGAAACTTGTGTGACCACTTGTTAATTCTAAATGATACATGTACAAAAACATTCCAAATTTAGTTTGTTTTATTTTTTGTGGGTTTTTTAAGTGTGTGTGTGGAGCTTGAACTCAGGGTCTGGGCACTGTACCTGAGCATTTTTGCTCAAGGCTAGTTGTTTATCACTTTGAGCCATAGCTTCACTTCCAGCTTACTGGTGGTTAATTGGAGGTAAGAGTCTCAGAGACTTTTCCTGCCTAGGCTGGCTTCAAATCATAATCCTTAGATCTCAGCCTCTTAAGAATCTAGGATTACAGGCATAAACCTCTAAGCTAGCTAGCTAGCCCAGCTAGCTCCAAATCTCGATTTATGACAGGTATCAATGGCTCATGCATGTAATCCTTACTAGATATAAAGAGGTTGATATCTGAGCACTATGGTTTGAAGTCATCCCAGGCAGACGAGGCCTTAAGAATCTTAGCCAAACAAGAGAATGAGGCGCTGCCTTCAAGTTCCAGTAGTGGCAACCCAGGAAGGGGGATTTACACGAGCAATACTCAGGACAGCTGTGACAATCGTAAAACCCTGTATACCAGGAAAAATGAGATAAGCAACGCTTAAGTTTACACAAAGCAACTGTGAGAGAGATTTTCTTTGACATGAAAAAACAGAGATGGGGATGTACTAAGTTCCTCAAATTTTGTTCAAAGTTTAAACCAATGGAATAAACTCCATTAAAGAGCAAAAATGAAATTGTGCATCGACCATGGGAAGTAACAGAAAATAATTTATGTTCAAGTAAGAGGAAAAATACAGCTTTTAAATTAGTCTCCTCACAAAGCCTGACTTCTGTGAAAAAAGACGTACAAAAGAAGTAACTAACATTAATAGGAAATGTAGTTAGAAGTCTGGGGAGGAGAAAGTAAATAAAAGACTAATGTGTAAATATGAAAAAATTCTACTAATAAAATGGTTTTATACCAGTGTGATTTCTGGAACAATTTGATTAAAGTTTTGGCTACTGGGATTATTAAACTTATATCTGATTCTGTAAGTCAATAATCCTGAAGTTTCTGATAAAGTTTGTCCAAAATGCTAAAAAAAAAAAAAAAAAAGATGAGGCTCAGGTTACAACTCAGTGGTATAGCATGTGCTCAGCATGCTCAATCAGTTCCCAGCACCAAAAAAAAAGGAAAAATCTAATAATCCAATAAAATAAGAGCATGTGACCATTTCCTACGAAAACTATAGACTTTAATGTAAGAGACATTCAAACATTGGCCACTTGAACAATGCAACGCTCCCCACCCCCTCCCCCCCCGCCCCGCATAATCTTACCTTAATGACCTTGGAACCAATTTTATAGGACCCTGAACTCAGTTTCTGAAGAGCTCGAAAAGCATCTTGCCGATGAACCATACATACATAAGCGCAGCCCCTGGGAGGAATCATCTATTTAAAAAAATATTTTTTTTTAGAAACGGCATAAGGTTGGAAACTCATTCTAGCATTTTGTGGTTTTAGAAAAACGGTAAGTTTTGACTACAGACTGTTTCAATTCAGTTTTGGCAAACTATGGAACATATTTCCCCTTTCTTCATTTATACACGAATTAAGACTTGATTTTAATTTGACTCCACCCTAAGCCATGATTTATACAAATCTTGATTACCAAACATAAAAAATTTCTTGAATACTGAAGAACAATAAAAACAAAAGAATGTATGGTCCATATACAAAACACCACCAAGTACAAGAGAAGTAATATTGTATATTTTATGGCAAATAACTTATTCCTAGCAGTATTTTCAATTTTTTCCAAATGATGAGCTGAGTAGTGTGTGGAAGGTTTTTGTTTTAGGGAAATATCATAGCTTCAATGTAAAATATATAGTTGACAATATGATAAAGATAAATGTTTTATAAAAATTTACTTGTTCAAGTGTTTATGCATAAAGGTTTTAACATGAACAGGAAAATATTCTCAGTGCAAGGATATCTGAAAGCTTATTTACGAAGCATTTGAGTCATTCTATAAACTACCAGATCATCCAATTATCCTGAATGAATTAATTCAGAAAACTGTACAGTTTTGTTTTTGAGAAATTCAAAAGGCAGTCTTAGGGAATGGGTTATGTATCACATAACTTCTGACTTCTTGGAATTTGCCACTGTGCTGTGGCTCAAAATCCCCTGTGGACTCAGCTACTTTGATAGAATTTAAAGGTACCAGCTACTAGTTTAAAGGTAGGGGAAAATCCGAATCTGAAAACATTCCAAAAGGTTCTAACATGACGAACTATGAATGATGATTTCTGAAAGTTGGCTATGCTCAGACAAGTAAAAATTTAAAATCCCAAGCTGAAGTTCCCAATTAATTATCTCTTGTTTATCTGTGTAATCAAGCAAGTCAGTGTCCTCACTGTAAAATGGCAATATCTGATTTACTTAACCAGCTTCTTAGAGGATCCAATGAGATCACACACACTTGGAAAAATTCCAAATGGTCAAATGCAATTCAAATGAAGAGTGCTCTGACTAAGGTAAAAAAGCCACGTTTGGTCACATACAGAGTATTAGGAATTCAGACTGAAAAAGAAAACTGTTTTTAGGTAATTTGTAATAAAAGGTCCAACATACGTAAAAGTGCAACTGTACTAATAAAATCAGAAGTTGAAATGAGTTACAAAGTCTAATCAAAGGACCAAAATTTACATAATAGAAGAGAGACAGAAGGGATAAAAGCAACTAAAATGGCTAATTAAGGTGTCTAACTTCCAAAAAAAAAAAAAAACAGGTCCCTGAAAGAAATATCTAAAGGAGATGGGCTGGTGCACAAAGAGTGAAAAAAATCAAGTGGAAGAAACAGTTATGCTCAAGTTAGGTGCAATTCCCTGGCCATGTTGCTTTTCTTCATCAATACTTTGCTTCATTTCATAAGAAAGCAAAAGGAGGGAGAAGGAGAACGAGAGCAAAGAGAACAAAAAATCTTACATGAGAAACTGGGGTCCCAGGCTCACTCTGTCTCCACTACTACTAAAGTACTTACGTGTAGGTTACTACAATTCAGTGCAAATCATTTCCTTATTTTTTTTTTTTTAAGAAATTTAACCACCACAGGTTAAGTCTGCTGCTAACTCAAGCAGTTGATGTTTTTATGGATTCAAGTACTATATGTCTACAAATCTGGTATCAATATTTTGTAAAAATTCCACTAAAAAGGAAAGACAACTTAGGGAGATAAGCAGGTTCAGAGTAAACACAAAAATGATCAAAGTAAACAATTCTTGTAGAGATGCTCATTATAAAGCTAGATGCTACAGGCTTAACTAGGAATTGAAGTGATTACAAGTGAAAATTACCTATTTTTTTAACCTTAAATTCCTTTTAAGTGATACTTACATTAATAGATTCAATTTGTCCAAACTCTTCAAAAAGGTTAGTTAAATCTTGTTGTGTTGCCTTCTTGTCCACCTGACCAACCCAGAGAGTAGTACTACATACTGTCAAGAAATAAGAGACAAACAACCTAAGTCACAGACAGGGTCTCTTCTTTCAAGAAGCTCAAAATAAAACAATTCTAGCAAAAGGTACTACTGCAGATAACAGATACTTGTTAAGGGATACATAAGAGTCATACGTAAGAGTCAACCTCTACCACATCTTTTGTTCTTGCGCTCTGCAACCCAGGGTGGTCCACCTGAGAATGCTGGGGTGGGGTGTGCCCCACTGGGAATGGAGGGTGCCTACTGTCAAACTAAAACGTCTCCATCTTGTAACCAATCACCACTGTGTACTGATATTTTCAGGAATTACTTGCTTCTTGATTCCAATTACATAATGTGACCAACCAACCATCCAGTTGTGTCTGTCATCTTCTTGACTCTTTTGTCAATGGAGTTAAACAGACCCCCGCCTTGAATGGGAACTTTCCATCAACTTTACCAACCTCCTCCACCTGCAGCCATCAGCAGCCCCATTCCCAGTGATGATGACATAAAACTGTGCACCTCTGCCTTCAAAAACATTACCTCCCCCAAACAGGAACTCTTCACTGATGATAAGAGTGCTATCTAACTTCCCTGTATTACTTCATCACCCTGATAACCAGTTGTGGAAAAAAAAAATTGTGAGCCTGACTCCTTAGCAACAAGGAGAGAGGACATCACCACTCCTTGGGTTAGGACAAAAACCGAGCAGACCACCGCCTGGTGCTCCTGCCTAGCTGTGAGGAGAGTAGCAGAGCACTCTTCAGCACAGAAGAAAAATGCCTCAATGAAACCTCCTGTCTCTCTCCTGTGTCTGTTTATTTTCTGACAGTGGAGGGTGGCTGTATGTCTATACCATCTAGGAGCATGAAGGGTGGTAGGCCCCCTTCGTACTCTAAGGGATGAGGACAGGGATGGGGTTTGAGACTGGGAAATGAAGTCCCCAACACGATTCTGAAACACAACGAAGTTTCAAAATCACTCTCAATGCAAGACTACCTGTGAACCTTTTAAAACACCTTTCAGTGTAGGTGCTCCCCAATCAAGATAAATTTGAAAATTATACTACCTCCTATGTCACCTTTAGGGAAATAAGACTGTGCAGATACTAGAGGAGATGAGTGAATTAGAACACTTCCATTTGTTATCATCAAAGACTTGAAGATATGTGAGTATTGAAAGCCTCTTCTTTTTAATTAACAAATACTGACCATGAGATCCTGGTAAACCCTTAGCAGCTATGCTGTTCATGTTTTCTTGAAAAACTCCCCTTATAGAAGAAGTACTTTAAAATTTCAGGCAACACTTTTGTATCAATGTAATGTACTATATTTGGATTTATGACAATGTCATAATTTTCAAAAAATTCCCAGCATTCTGATCTTGACAGAGCAAGCCTACAGCAGGCTTTAGGGATAATTTAACTTGACAATGAAGTATAGTCCTTGGAAAGATCCCTACCAGATGTCTCTACTCTAGCTGGTCAGAACTCAAACATCTTCCAGACCTGTGTAAGCTTTAGGAATCATTTATATAATGCACAGTCTCTTGTAAGTGATCTTTTCCTGCTAGCTGTGTTTTGTTTCATGCAATCTACTCTGTACACATGTAATATTCAACACGTCTCAATTTACCTCAAGATCCTTGATTTTTTTTAAAAATAACTTAAGATTCTGACCAACACACCATCTAATGAAGCTGCTTTACAAGTTCCACAGGTTTGGATTTAAATGGCTTGAAAGGCAGGGAGATTACTCAATTTACCAAAAAGCCCTAGATAAATTTCTGAAGCTCTTTGACTACTTCCTTACTCATTTCCCTGCCATACATTTTCCAGCTACCATCACCTCCCCTTAACACTATTTCACAATCCCTATGTCTTTCACTGTTATTGCTCTATACTTTTATTTTTCTTCTAAGAAACAATAATTATTTATCTCCATCCATACAGAGGGATCAGGGATCACCTGATTCCTGGAGTGTTACTTTGATGCTTTACAACCCCTGGACTGTTCATGAAAACTTTCTGTCTCCCCTTTTCATGTTAGTATGAAGGCTTGAATTCAGGGCATTTAGATCTTGCTCAGCTTTATTGCTCATGGTTGGTACTCTACCACTTAAATCATAATTCCAATTCATCATTTGGCTAGTTAATTAGAAGTGGACTTAATTGGAGTCTTTTCTGCCCAGAGCTGGCTTCAAACCACAATCTTCTGATCTTAGCCTGAGTAACTGTGATTACAGGCATGACCATGAACACCCAGATAAACTTTGTTCTTAAATACATGTGAAAGAATAATAGTGGGCAATAGTTCCTCACAAAATGAAACAAGTGTTGAGAGAATAGTGACCACAGTACACTACTACTGCTCAGAGAGAAGAGGTAAACTAAGGAAGATTTGGCCTTCTCTGGATTTGCTATATGCTTAGATAAAAAACGAGTAAGTCTTGGATTTCAAAAGCAGAGTGACTACATTTAGCAAAAATTAACTGTATTTCAAAACAAAAGAAAGGATTCTGAACATTCTCAACAAAAGTGAAAATTATTTGAGGTGCTGGATATGTCTGATCATCACACATATGTGAATGGAAGTATCAGATTATACTCCCAATAAAATAGTAAGTGCTAAAAATAGATTCACTGGTCAATAAACACATAGTGACAACAACAAAATGAAGAACTAAATAAAAGAGTTTCCACATAAAAATTCTACCTAATATTAGCAAATAAAGCTAATAGTAATGAGTGTCCTAGTGGCAATCCCGTGAAGAAGTTTAATAGAGGTTTCATGGCCACAGGCTGGATATTATTCATCAGCCAACATTAAAATAGTTGCATCTAGTCCTTTACCATAAAGGACCACAGAACCTTTAGAAGTTAGAAATACAAGTACTATTAACACTAGCTCTCAATACCAGGTAAGATTCTGGAAAGATAACCATGGCCAACTCAAATTGCCAAAACTTACTAAGCAGATGGCTGTTGCCTTTGATTTTAGGCCTGGGTTTCCAAGATGCTCTAGCAGCGTAAATTACACCAATTATTCACTTTTCTCGCAGACAGAAGGAATTTATTGAGACCTTCAGAAATAGGTAAAATGACCAATGTTTAGCTCTTGGCAAAAAAAAAAAAAATTACAATTGTTACATATTATGTACTTCTATATCTGTAGTATGTTAGCTCACCTTAGAAATCGAAGCTCATTAAGAATGGCCAGAATTTGGAGAGACGTAAACTTACTTTGTTGTACTTAACACAAACACCCTCCCTGCTCTCCTAGTTTACCACAAAACAAACCCATAATAATATCAGCTGTTTTAATTATATATAATAGACTAACATACAAAGACTGAAAAGGTTTGTGCAACAGGAACTGCTCCTCTACTACTAAGCCATAATTTATCATTTGTATAAAAAATTATAGTAAAATTGGGCTGAGAATGTAGCTCAGGTACAGAGTACCTGAGTTCAGTTTCCAGCACTGAGAAAACAAAGTATATACTCTGTATGGTAATTACTCCTACCCCTCACTGTTCACCACTGGTTAGCAAAGTCAAGGTGTCATGCTACAGATATCAACTTGGTGTGTGTCAGGATCATTAGCAGTCATTTTCTAATCTGCATTAAAAAAAAAATTCAACTCTCAATGACCTTAGCATTTGAGTATAATCTGTCTTCCTTTCACTTCTCAAATAAATTACAAAATTTTGGGATGACATTACTTATATAGCAGGCCCCTTCTTAATTCTTAAGCCTCATTAAATTTGGTTTAGAGATTTTGTACCAGGAAACTAGTTTGTAATACTTGTGTGTTACTCACCACTTAATGTTTTAGATCTAATTGGAGGTAATCCCTTTTTCTGCCGTTCTTTTTCTCTTTCTCTGGCTCTCCTTTCACTTGAGTAGGAACGTGATGACTTCCTCTTCCTTTCTCTGGAGCGGGAGCGCGATCGCTTTCTGTGCTTACGCTTTCGAGAACCAGATCGTGACCTGGACCTTCGTTTTCTTGGTGATCTAAAACAAAACAAAACCATAACTATAAAACTTCACTTGTACTGACAGCATTAACCTTTCTGTCGAATCTTCACATTTTAAGTGAGGAGTGGGGAAGAAAGACTGTCTTATATTTAGCTGTCTCTTAGGATGTTTTATTGGATCATCCATTATCAAACATGCATTTTGACTAAATTTTTGTCCTATGGAGGTTCACAGTGACCACAAATATTTGTCTAGTGATTCTGAATCTAGGTGATTATTCACAAGAGAGGAAGAGAAGGGCTAGATTCAAGAAAGGCCTTCACTGATTCTTAAGACTCTTCTGATCACTGTCCAACAGGAATTTAGAACTATACTTAGGACAAAAATAGTACATTCTTGCCAGCCCAGACAGGGAAATCCATGAGATTCTTCATCTCCAACTAACCACCAGAAAACTGGAAGTGGAGCTGTGGCTCAAAGTGACAGAACACTAGCCTTGAGCAGAAAAGCTCAGGGACAGTGCCAGGCTCTAAGTTCAAGCCCCATGATTTACCAAAACAACAAACAAACAAACAACAAACCAGACTGTTTCCAACAGTGCATGAGACGATTACATAGTTACGCTTCATAGTTTTGAAGGGTCTAAAATTTTCTGGTTCTTAAATTTACAATAGGTGATACTAAAACAGTTCAACGTTTACCGTGCAGACTTCCAGACTATTCCTACAAAAGTGTGGACTATGAAATGTTTTAGTTTTTGTTTTTCGGGTTTTTGGTCAGCTGTGGGGCCTGAACTCCAGGCTTGGGCGCTGTCCCTCAGCTCTTCAGCTCAAGGCTAGCACTCTACCACTTGAGCCACAGCACCACTTCTGGCTTTTTCTGTTTATGTGGTGCTGATGAATGGAACCCAGGGCCTCTGCATGTAAGGCAAGCACTCTACCACTGACCCAATTTCCCAGCCCTGGAGTATGAAATGTTAAAAGGGGATGATGGTAATTTTTGTAGGGGTTTTGGGGCCATTTTTTATAGCATTATGAGATAAAATGGAATGCAAAAAATACAGCTGATGTAACTGTATACAGTCAGGGGCATTTATACTCCTACTAGCTGACATTTTAGCATCAACAAAAATCCAGTGTAATCCAATCCAGCTATTACTCCAATATGTGGCAGACAGACATGTTAATGAGCTTCTCTTGTTTCCAATTTACAATTACTTTATTCTTAGGATAGTAAATATTATTTCAAGAAACGCATTTTTCATTTTGATAGAAACAAATAAAGCCAACATAGCAACTGTTAAATATGAATGTAGAACCTTGAGCGAGATCTTGAGTGAGTTCTTGATCTTGAGCGAACAGCTACTTTCTTAGCTTCTTGTTCAAAGATCTCCTCTTCCACTGCATCTTGCCCTTCATCTATATCCATATCCTTGAAAGTCAAAAGAAAGGCAAACAAACCGTGCTTAGATAGTTACATCTTGACTATTCTGCCCATTTGAGGGGTGGGGTATAGTACTGAGGTTTGAACTCACATTCTGGCTCATGCTCAGCTTGCTTACTTAGTGCTATCCACTTGAGCCATACTACAGCCAGCAATGTTGCATTAATATTCAATAGGTAAAACAGGGTGTAGAGTTTAAGGAAAAATATATTCAGACATTACCATTAAACAATATTTCCTTAAATAATTTTAGAAATTTATAACTCACAAAAACACTTGTACCTGTTGCTGAATATCTATGGAATCATCCAAATTTGCTTCAGGTTCAAGGAAATGTTGCTGGCTGCTTCCTTGTGATGGTGATGCCGAATGCTCTGACCCAAATGTTCCTTCTTGACTATCCTGGGGAGTTGCCTATTGGAAACAAAAATAGTACACAACAATTTCATTACAAATGAAAATTTAAATATGGTAAACATACAATTAAAATGCTAAATTATAAAGTAATCAATCTAAAATCACAGTTTTACAGAAATTAAACTTTACTTAAAAAGCAAGAGAAAACCAAAGAAGGTAATGTAATTTTTGAGTAGAATGAAAATGGAAAGTACAAACTACAGAGGTTTAGACAAAGGGTTATACAATGAATGATGCTAATGGCAGTAAATTATATGAATCTAGAATTTCACCAGTAAGTAGCACTGACAAAATAGTAAAAATGAAATATTTGCAGTAAAAAAGTATAATAAAATATAAATACATATATGTAAATTGCAATAAAATTTTATGTAGCAAAACCATTCTTACCTTCCTTCTACTTTATTAAGATAACAGTAAAAAGTACTTATAGACATATAAAACACTTCAAAAGTTCTAAGAAAAGTTAAGTAAAAAGACCTAATTATAGAAACAAATAAATGTATGCTTCTCTCTGGCACAAGAATTACCATAAGTTGATACAATGATAATATAATGCTTATTTGATGCTTGCCACTAGTATTTTTTTTGAAACTTAAAAAGAGAGATCAGGTTATTATTAGGGAAAATGATTTGGTAGAAAAAGTGTAAGACAGGATGTGTGGATATCCAGGACCGACACACAGCAGTTCCTGGTGGTACAGACTAAATAATACTATGGTAACAGTCACAACTGTGTTCACAAACAATCTGCTTAACTCTGAGTTTCAATCTAAAAGGAATCGAAGTGCCTATCTGTAGTTGAGAACTGCAAAAGCAATGAAGAAAACAGCAACACAAGAAAACATTCTATCAAAAGCAGAAAATGTACATGACCAGTGTTAGTTTAGGGAGAGGAAAAACGGTTCTAATGAGATTTAAGACTTTACAGGACTAAAGAAACCACAGGAGGGTAAACACTATCAATGAACTTAGTCCTATTGTAGAAAGGTCCAACTGGACCTTAAGACTTTAGTTCTAGTCTTTTCTAGTCTTAGAAACTACTAATATCAAAAACCAAGAAACAGACTTGGTCAGATATATTTAAGTTGCATCATCTCAATAAATAAATAAATAAACCAAACCCCAGTGGGGAATTTCAAACACACATTCAGCAGCAGTACAATATACTAAAAGTGTCAAGAGTTCTTTTATGTAGTGTTCTAGCCTGAGGAAGCTCTAAATTAAATAGCCTTAGTATATGTGATTTTCTTTTTGTTTTTGGATGCCCATCATGGGGCTTGGAACTCAGGTCCTGAGTGCTGCCCCTGAGATTTTTTTGCTTAAGGCTAGCACTCTACCAACTTGAACTATAGCTCCACTTTTGGCTTTTTTTGCTGGTTAACTGGATATACAAGTCTCCTAGACTTTCCTGCCTGGGCTGGCTTCAAACTGCCATCTTCAGCTCTTAGCCTCTTGAGAAAAAGCGAGATGTAGTGCTGTGACTCAAGTATTAAGAGTCCCAGCCTTGAGCTTAACCCACAGGACTGGCAAAACAAAACTAAACTAAACTAAAGCAAAACAAAAAACACAACAAAACAGAATTTAATAAAGTGAAATGTTATTGTTTAGTTTCAATAAATTCATTACCAAAAATACTGTATTATATTTCAAGATAAAAAATCATTTTTGTAGTCTGCTGTTATTCTTCTTTCAATAGTTGAAAATTCAGATTTTTAACTTTCAGCCTATAATGGCAAAAGAAAGAAAACTGACAGGAAATCCACTACACAGTAATTTTATTTTTGCCTGCCCTGGGACTGGAACTCAGAGCCTGGGCCCTGTCTCTGAGCTTCTGCTCAAGGCTAGCACTTTACCATGTGAGCCACAGTGCCACTTCCAGCTTTTTCTGTGTATGTGGTACTGAGGAATCGAACCCAGGGCTTTATGCAAGCTAGGCAAGCATTCTACCACTAAGCCACATTCCCAACCCTATACTAATTTTAAAAAGCAGGAGAGGAATGCAAAGTAGTACAATCCAAATCTAATGATGATGATGATGATCTCTCCATTTTTTGCATTAGATGTTTAGTCTATGCTTAAACTTTTGAGTCTGAAGATAAGATAAAGGAGTCTTAATGCCTTCCTCATGTGAACTAAGTGTCAATTTTGCCTCACACATTTAACAAAGTTCTGTCAAATGGTAACAGCAATTACATTCTTTTAAACTAAAGAACAGTCTGTTTTGTGACTATCATCACTACACAATTGTCAGTGCCTGGAAAGACAAGAGAATGGTGAAGAGATACATCAGTCAAAAGTGTTTAGTGGTAATTCTGCAACTCCACCTCTACTTCCTGTTTTTGTCCTTTCTAGCCATTGTAGAAATCAATTTCCATAACATGGATTCCCTAAGTTGCCAGAACACATTCTGACTACAGAAAGTTATACAGCTCTTGAATAATACTAACCTTCCTAAGAATAAAGAGATAAAGATATATCACTATACAATAGGGAGTGAATAAAGTGGCTGATAAAAACTCTAAATAGATGAGAACATATTAAGCCCCCAAAACCAACAACCCCACAGAATTATTTTTCAGACCACAGAGACAATCCAAGACCACAGGATGGGCTACAGACCTTCTGAGGCTGCTGCTCCAGGAGCTGCTGTCTGAGATGTTCAATGTTTTGCTGTTGCAGCTGCTCTGCAATCTGATGAAAAATGGAATTGTTCACAGACTCTGAAACGTGAGAACTAAAAAGAAAAACACAAGTATTTTAACACATACTAAAGATAACAATGAAGATAACTACCTAATGAAAACAAAAAAATGCCAACTTAATACAGCATATTCTATTACGATGCCTTGCTTTCGAAATACTGACATTCAAAACAACACATCACATTAATACATTAAGAGTGAAATATACTCAACAGTGTTTGGACAGACAATGCTGTATGCTCTGTGGGAGATCTGATATTACTGTCTCTTACTAAATACATTTAGTAATTTTCATTGGAGCATTTTAAGCAAAATCTCAATAAAACACAAAAGTATTTATACACAACTCCTTTTCTATTTAATAACATAGAGGGGAAATGGGCTACCAATCAATACATGTACAATCTATAATTATAACTGACCTTACACTTTATGAAATTAACATGCTTCCCTTATAAAAGCATATGCATTATTAAGGATGTTAACAGAAGCAGACAGCATAGAAACAGTGATTTAACTATACTCTGGGAAATTCACACCTGGAGTGCACCTGGAATTCTGGGTGCCATAGGGTAAGACATGAACAAAAAAGAGGGCATCCCAAAAGGGGCAAGCAGGATGGTGAGAAGTCTTGGAACGGTGGGGAAAAGTGTACTTCATCTGGAGCAAATAAACCTATGGGGAAGAATGATACCTATCTTCAAATACTGAAAAGCTACGTCCCAAAAGATAATGGAGTAAATTTGTTCCCTTGCTTCAGAAAGCAGAGTTTCAATTCTTGTTTCAGAAGGATACATAAAGGAGACTCTTAGATTGTTTTAAGTCACTCATCTACACATCTTCAAATATCCCTTCCCACTTTGTTATCTAAAGTACTAGATTTTAATTGTGGTAAGGAAAATCTCTTTAATGAAAGGTATTTCACGCATTGTAGTGACATATCTTTATTGATGACCATAATTTATAAAGCTCATAGCCTGTCTGAAATAACTCCTAGAGGCTTCCTCCCTCATTCTTCTCCCACCTGCCATTTCCCATCTCCCACAGCCATCCTCCTACTCATCTTCCCATGTGTCCTCACAGAACCAAGGGCTCTGCAGACTACTGTTTCTTTCAATAAAGTGTCTAAGCCCAATTTTCCTTCTCCACAGTCTTACACACCCTGTCTGGGTCTCCCAGAGCTCCTATCCTCACACTGCAGATATTCTTACAACTAGCTACACTTACCAATGTTTATCAGTTTTCCTAGGAAACTTTGATATATCCCAACTATTTGCAAAGATCTGAGAAACAGTCCAAATAATCTAGGGAGGCAGTAAGAGAACAACGCTTGCATCTTCTGTAATGTTAAGAGTAACAACCCCAACTCAGGCCAAGCATACTTGTAGGTCAGAGGGAAACTACCCAATATGGATAAAACATGAACAGAAGAAAGAGTTGTCATAAAGAAAATAAAGAGAATTCTTACAGTTGAGGAGTTGGGATATCCTTTTTGGGTTCTTCGCTATGCTCAGAGTCTTCCCCAAAATCAAATCTATCCATCAACTTCTAGGGAATGGGAAAAAGAGACACATTAAGTTGCACTTCACACAAATACAAGTTACAAACGCTGGTTTGTCTGTAGCTTTAACTACTATGTTGTCAACAGAATACAGCATTTTAGAAGACCTTTAGTTTTTCTTAAAACACCTATACACATATAATATGCATTCTCCCTGAGAGTTCTGCTTTCTGCAGCTACACCTATCTAGCAAATGTAGTAGGAAAATACTCCTACACTCTCTTTCAAGAGATAACAAATGCATATTTTATATGTTGTTATAATTATTCTATTTGATTAGTTTTTTACTGGGCCTAATTTGTAAATCAGACTTCACTGTTACGTATGTATAATAAAATCAGTGTATGTCCCTATGCGTGTACACAGTGCCAATCCATACTGATGTTACTCTGGACTGTCAGCACCCACAGGATGTCCTACGATGTGGAGAAGACTTACTACTGCATCGCCTTATATAACAAAACAAATTCTGACACAGGAAATACAAACACCAAAAGTCCAGTTTTCCAGAAGTGAAGCCTACAGATTAAAATAACTAAGAGGTCTGCCCTTGGTAATATAGCTGATTAAAAAAAAAAAAAAACCTAAGATCATAATCAATGTATCCATTCCTACCAAGAGTCTCACCTTAAAGTGCTATCTCTTTTGAATATTCAGCACTAATAGAACAAATCAGGATTTGCTTTCCTATACAAATAATAGCAAAACTTTTAAAAAAAGATACCACTGCCAAAGTATAGTATTTCCATAATGAGCAAGCATACTTAAGATGTAGCATAATAAATTCAAAAGGATACTCAATTTTAAAAATAGTACCTTATGCCAGGCACTGGTGGCTCACGCCTATAAATCCTAGCTACTCAGGAGACTGAGATCTGAGGACTGCAGTTCAAAGCTGGCCCAGCCAGCAAAGTCCATGAGATTCTTCTTTTTTTTTTTTTTGCCAGTCATGGGGCCTGAACTCTGGGCCTGCGCGCTGTCCCTCAGCTCTTCAGCTCAAGGCTAGCGCTCTACCACTTGAGCCACGGCACCACTTCTGGCTTTTTTTTTTCTTTTTGCTTATGTGATGCTGAGGAATCGAACCCAGGGCCTCATGCATGCAAGGCAAACGCTCTACCACTGAGCCACCTTCCCAGCCCCCTACATTTCTTTTTAAACAGTTTTACCCCCTCCCTCATTTTCTCCCATTCTCCTTGACTCCCCCTGTCCCCCAAGCAAAAAGAAATTTTAAATTAATTTCTTTCAGAAGCTTGAGCCCTTTATAAAATGTAGAATGTCTTACACAAAAGCATACATTAGAAGAGTCCATGAACAGGTGGATGGCACACACCTACAATCTGAGCACTAGAAGGCTGAGGCAAATGGCTCAAGGCTAGCCTGAGGTAACATGATTCAAACACACTAAAATTAAAGTAAGTCTGTGAGCTGAGTACTGATGTCCACCTTGTAATCCCAGCACTGAGGAAGCAGAGGCAGGGGATCTCAAGTGGATAGCAAGTTCCAGGCTACACTGAGCAACGTAGCAAGATCTTGTCTCAAACAAAACAACAAAAATAGCTCATGACAAAATATAATTTATAGGATTAGAATCCCCATATTGCGAAACACTGAACATTTTCCATTGGTACCTTATTGAAAGAGACTCCTTGATCCAAGGGGGTCAGAGTGCTGGCCGCTGCAGCTGCAGCTGTAAGCTGTGCAGTGAGGGCCTGCAACTGAACCACAAGTCCCGCATCCAGTGCCTGCAGGATGGAGGGCTGAGGCTTCTGCTGCTGTATCTGTAAGGTCTGTATTAACTGCTGAAGCTGCAGAGGAAAAATGATTACAAAACAGGGTTGGGTTTTATTCCTAAGAGTACCTGTCTAAAAAATTTAGTAAATAAACTTACTCCTACTATGTACAGTCTTTTGTGATCATGAAAGTCTTTCTTGGTAAATTTATATAACGTAGTCCTTATTAGCTCTGTTCTTCTTTGGGCAGTCAAAGAATTTTAAGCAAAACAATCAGGCAATAAAGCACACATAAACAAATCCTCATAAGTTGACCAGTGCTGTTCACTGAGCTTCCTGCAATGAACACCACTAACAGAACCAGCTTTGTCCCTTCATATTTACCACCAGAGAACACACATCCCCAGGGCAGGAGACTCACTGATTATTCTTGTGTTGAGCAAGTGAGGGGAAGGAAACCAGTTATGAATGATGAACAGTTGAACAGTATCAATAAGAGTTGAGGCAAGATTTGTTTCCACTATCCACCACTCTTGTTTGAAAAAAATATGCCAACAATAATATTTCATAAGCAAGAAAAGTCCTACATAATTACATCCTAAGTAAGTAATAATCAAGCTATAAACCTGATGATAGGCACACTTGTACAGCTGGATAGGAAGAATAATTTCTAATATTCTACCACACAGTAGGGTCACTATGGTTGACAAAAATTAACTGAATACTTCAAAATAGCTAGGAAGGAGGATTTTGAATATTCCTACCAGAAAGAAATGATAATGTGTTTGATATGATCATCACATATTATATATAGTGAAATGTCACACTATATTCTAAACACAGACTATGTGCCAATTAAAATGAAAATTTACATAATTATTTTAGAAGTTTTAAACCTGAGTTACATCTAATAATTGTCAGTTTAGATTAGGAAAATAAAAACAGCAAAACTGTGACAGTTATATAGTGTATGTACTTAAGTTCAGTTTGTAGTATGAGAAGACACAAACACTGTGCAAATGACTCTAAGTTAAAGTGTCCATTCTAAAACAGCAACATTAGGAAAAACTAGTTTAACTATCGAGTATTTCCTATAGACCCATTAATATATTCAAAAAGAAAAATATACCAGAGTTAATTTGCTGCACTCAGAAAGCTCCCAAAGGGCTAAGACTATAACAGGTCTGGGAAATTGGCTCAGTGGTAGAGCACTTGCCTTGCAGGTGTGAAGCCCTGGGTTTGGAGTCCTCAGCACCACATAAATAGAAGAAGCTGGAAGTGGGCACTGTGGCTCAAGGCGAAGAGTGCTAGCCTTGAGCTGAAGAGCTCAGGGTCAGCACCCAGGCCCAGAGTTCAGGACCCACGACCGGGGGGGGGGTTGATGGAGGGAAATCTTTCCCATAAAAGAAAATAATTTTTCCTATCATTCTGTCAGGGAGAGAGGAAAGTAGGAAGGGAAGGAAGGATGGATAGAGACCATATTTTCTCTTTGACACACTTTAACAAACTCTCCCATTCTGACATTTCCATTTTCCCATCAGGACAGTTATCTTTCAATGCCCAAGTTAAAAATCCCTACAGCATGTGGGGCTGGGAAGGTGGCTCAGTGGTAGAGCACTTGCCTTGCATGCTCAAGGCCCTGGGTTCGATTCCTCAGCACCACATAAGAAAAAAGCCAGAAGTGGCGTTGTGGCTCAAGTGGTAGAACGCTAGCCTTGAGCTGAAGAGCTGAGGGACAGCGCCCAGGCCCAGAGTTCAGGCCCCACGACCGGACCTCAAAAAAAAAAAAAAAAAATCCCTACAGCATGTGACTTTCCTGTCCAATGACCTCACACGCACTCTATTACTCTCATGCTTGCTCTCCATACTGTTTCTTTGGAAAGTAACAGAAACTACTTTTTATCTTACTCTCTGTATTTGCTCCTTCAAAATTCCTTCTGCTCTCAAAAATATTTAGTAGACAAAATTTATAAACCAGTTCAAATCCAAAACTATATATTAACTTGGTTTTTACGTTTTTCAAAGTCTGGAATGGTCCTATGTTAGGCTGTTGACAGCAAACATTCCATATTCACTATTTTTCACATATTCACTTTCTCTCTTCTAGGATTACTGCTAGCAAAATGACAATATTCACTGTCTTCAGATATTACTTCCTCCAACCCATTGAAGTACTATTTTAGATCATATGATTTCAACATAAAAATCTTTGTTGCTGGGAACCACAGTGGCTCCCTCCTCTAATTCCAGTTATTTGAGAGTGAAGATTGGGAGAGTGAAGAGTGGCGATCTTGGGGAAGAGAGACTCCCCCTCCCCCTACCGCAGCAAACAGCTGGGCATGGTGGTGTATGCCTGTTACCTCAGCTATCAAGAAGCATAAGTTAACGGCCACCAAGCAGACTGCCCTAGGCATAAACACAAGACCTTATTCAAAATAACAAAGCAAAAAGGGAATAAAGGCTCAAGTGACAGAGCACCTCCTTAGCAAGCCTTGTGAGACCTAGATTTAAACCCACACTGCCACCAAAAAAAAAAAAAAAAATTAAAAAATAAAACAACACAACTTTTCTTAACTTTCCATTTAAGTAAACAGCATCCAAAACCTAGGTCTTGCTGGGCTTGCAATACAACTGTGTCACTAATAAGTGCCTCCACTATATCTTTTCTGTGCCTGTGCTTTTGTACATCATTCATTCCACAAAAAATGTATGGATATTGTCTTAGCATACACAAGTGTGTAGGGAGGGAGAGAGGAGAAACAAAAATACTGAACTAGCATAATATCTACTCCATAAAGAAGAGACAAAGAAAAACAATACTGAAGTTGAAACCATATTATTATGTGGGAAGAGAAACATTAGGAAGAAAAATGCTGGGTCAGGATTCTAAATAGTATTATTTAAAGAACAGTAAAAAGGCCACTGTTGCTGAAACCAAATGGGGAAAGAGTGAGGATGGGAATCATGATAATAAAATGGTGAGAATGGCTCCAATGAGAAAGAAAAAGACATGTTGAGCAGGGAGTATTATTACATGAAGAACATACAAAGCTAGTAAAGGAAGTAAAACTGTGGGAAGCACTCCTGGGCAACAAAGCCACATGACCACTTAGTTTTATAAGGGCAACTGCCTGAGATTATAGGCAAACTGCAGTGGAATAGGGTGGAGGCCCCACTAAGACTACTGCAACTAGGTACTATAGCTCACACCTGTAATCCTAGCTACTCAGGAGGCTGAGATTGAGAATCCCAGTTCAATGCTAGCCTAGGCAGACAAACATAAGAGACTCTTGTCTCCGATTAGCTAGGAATAAGCTGGAAGTGGAGGTGTGGCTCAAATTATAGGGCAGCCTTGAGTGAAAAAGTGAGAGTGTGAGGTCCTGAATTCAAGCCTTAGTACCAGCAATGCATGTACACACATACATATGTACATGCATGCATACACATGCAACCCTTGGGCACGCATACACACATATACATACACACACACACACACACACACACACATTTTAAAAAAGGAAGAAAGACCACTGCAACATAAGTGAGAGAAGTAATGCTGGCGTATCTAGGAACTTGTGAGAAGAGGTACTAAGAAGGGGTTTGATTCAGGAGCTGTGCCAAAGCTGAAGGATTTCTCAAAAGACTGCTTGTAAAGAATGAGGAGAAAGAATCAAACTCTAAACAACTCTAAGGTTTCAAATCAGCAGCAAGAACAGTATTTCTACTGAGAGGAAGCTGCAGGTGAAGCAAGTTTTGTTTGAAAGACTTCATATAGCTCCTCTTTAGCACATTTTTCTTACCTATCCTTTGAAAATCAAATTGTCATTTACACAACAGAGCTTTTCTTGAGCTAAGCTATTTACCATTGTCTAATGTCATTTTGTCATGTTAAAATTGTGTGTTTCCCCTCAGATAGAAGACTTGTCATGTCACCGGGGTAGCAATACACTTAATTTTGGCACAAACTGTTAAGTGAATACTTTGGTAAAGAATGCATTTCTTATATGGTACTCTTTTTTTCTGTTTGTATGTGCCATCCTGGGGCTTGAACTCAGGACCTGGGTGCTGTCCCCAAGCTTGTGTCCTCAGAAAGTGTGATACCACTGAGCCATAGTTCCACTTTTGATTTTTTTGGTAGTTAATTAGAGATAGGGCTGGCTTTGAACTGCAATCCTCAGATCTCAGCCTCCAGAGTAATTAGTATTATAGGTGTGAGCTACTGGTGCTCAGCTAAAACTATCTTGAACAACACAAATATGTTTGTGCTGAATTACTGAATGAAAAATGAAATTTACAAAGTAATTGTACAGTGACCTCAGTTTTATAAAAATAAGACAAAAATGCATATACTTTAGATCATATAATACATTAGGAAAATAATGAATTCTCAATCACTTTTAATATAGTAGAAAAGCTGCTCACCTGCTGGCCTTGAGGACTTTGTAAGATCTGAGCAACAGCTGCAAGTGTATCTGTATTTGCGATCTGAGATACCCAAGGGTCAGGCAGGCCCTGAACCACATTGGCCGGAGTAACAGGTGTCACAGGAGTTCCTTTTATAAATGACCCCCCCCCCAATAAATATGTAAGTAAACAAGTAACTTGAAAAGATAGAGGGATCTGTCCAATTGCTTTTATAAAATATATACAGATTAATATGTTTTAATTTTAAGACCTTATTTGGAAAACCATTTCAAACCCTTTTATATAATTTGGTAGATTTAAAAACAAAATACCTCCTACAAAGCCCAAAATGTACCTGGCTAATAAACTAAGGTACAATAACAAAGCCTGTATTGCTAAAGAGCCATTAAAAATCTCACTTGAGAGAAAACTCCTTAATATGAGGGAAATAATCCAGAGACAATTTTTGATGAAAATTGCAACAATATTACAAAATCATTTCTACTAAAAATGTTTATATAGCCGAGCATCAGTGGCTCACTCCTGTAATCCTAGCTACTCAGGAAGCTGAGATCTGAGGATCGCAGTTTAAAGCCAACCCGGGCAGCAAAGTCCATGAAACTCTTATCTCCAATAAACCACTCAGAAACCTGAACTGGTGCTGTGGCTCAAGTGGCAGAGTGCTAGCCTTGAGCTGAAGAGCTGAGGGACAGCTCCCAGGCCCAGGGTTCAATCCCCATGATCCCCCCCCCCCACAGTTTATATATGTGCACATGTGTTTATGTAAAACAAAAAATAAATATATACCAAATATTAAATATTTCTTGGGACTGAGACAAATACTTTTAAATGGCATTTACATGTCACAAACAAAAAACTTTATTGTTAAAACAGTCTTGGTTTTATTAAAAAATGTTTTTTCAGGGTATTTATAAAAATTAAGTCCCCCTGATTGTCTTTAAATACCAACTTGCTTTAGATAAAGATGTAAGAGGTTACAGTCTAAATCAGCACCCTAATTGACAAGCACATGTTCTAAAGTTCATTCCATTTTCTAAACTTTAGAAACAATTACATATGAACATAATATCTGATTTTTATTTTTTCTTTGAAATGACAGCGTCTTTCAACTACTTAATGTTAGACAACTATCTAATGTCAGACATCTAATGTTACAGGTGGGTAATCAGGGTAAAGCACAAATAAACCAATCCACTGCTAGGTTACCTTGCAGTCACATACCTGGAGTGTTGCTCATGGCTGCAGTACCGGCCAACACAGGTGTGACAACTGGGGGAGGAATCCCAGCTGCCATGTCCAAAAGGGGCTGAATGATCTCACTCTTAAATACATTGTTCTTCTGCCACAAGTTTAATACTCTCACTATTTTACTCTGTAAGAACAAAGAAAAGAGACATCTTGATTTTTTTTGCTTCAAAACCTCTATATAGCTGAGCACCAGTGGCCCATGACTGTCAAACAAAACAAAACAAAATTCTTTCCATACAATCTTTTCATACTTGTTCTCTCTTTTCATTATTCTGCCCTCTAATCTTCTCCTCTCATCCATGCCATACTGGCCCCAAATAATACACACTCTATGTAAATAATATTTTATACATTCATTCCTCTACTAACCTGAGCTTTTGCCATCCTATGAAGAAAAACAAAACTAAAGTCTCCACACCATCATGTTTTCTCCTCCTGGAGCCCTTTACTGGAGCATTGCATATAACAGATTAAGCTCTTGAACAATTACTACATGTATATCTCTATTTTTCAATTAACTTCACCCTTTTCTGGATTGCTTCAGCATTCAAAGCACTTCTGATTTTTGGTAAAGATCTAGCCAGTCATGCACCATTTATGCAGATGCCATAAAACGCGTGAAATATATGCTATCTACATAACCCTTCTTATTACTTTGGTTTTAAGCCTACTGTATCAGTGTCAGTGAATTACAAAATGTTTTAAACCCTGATTTCCTTCATTTGTAAAATGAGACTGTGTAGTAGAAGATTTTTCATGGTCATTCTCAAATGAACATGGTCAGGATTTCCAAGGTCTTAACTACTGCCAAATTTTGGACATCGTCAGACAGAATTATAATGAGATTTAGTTCTTATAGCAACAATACAAACAACTTCAGTGTAGTTCCTTAGACCCTACATTTTCTCCAAAAAAAAAAAAGATTTCTTATAGAATTCCATTTCTTTGTGAAATTTTGCTCATCTAACTCTGAAATCTAATACAATGTTCAGCAATACTAAGAACTTGTTGACCAGAAAAAAATCCTATTTAATATCTTCCTTGGTTGTACAACAGCTTTACCAATCCTTCAGGTTTCAAGCTCCAAACTTACAGGGAGAATGTTTCAAGATGCTCTATACCAGTTCATGAAAAACATCAACTGAACAACTAGGCCTTGCTTCTTGAAATAAACATTTCACCCAAAGCATGCACTTAAGTGAGAGTAACAGTATGCTGACCCCAGTGTCACTGGTAGAAGCACAATAATCTCTCCATGATATCAGTAATAAAGCAATTCACAAGTATTTAACACAAAACTTAAAAAAATAAAGTTACTACTATTCTGAGATCATACTTACATTAGGAAAAAGTTAACTAACAGGATATTATTCACTTTTAGAAGAACACTGGTTAGTATCTATATTAGTAAAATAGAAATTTTTAAAGAAAAAAAACAGCTCATCTTTAAATCCCTCAATATTATAGGCTGATATATTTTAAAATCATTCCACGATATATTAGGGAACAATTTTTTGTATTTCTAACAGGTAACCTTTAAAACACTTTTATAAAACGTCAATTAGTAAATTATTTTACATGGAATTCTAAATAGTGGGGTTTTTTTTTTGGGGGGGGGGGGGGGGGTCCGGTCGAGGGGCTTGAACTCCGGGCCTGGGCGCTGTCCCTCAGCTCTTCAGCTCAAGGCTAGCGCTTGAGCCACAGCGCCACTTTTGGCTTTTTCCTTTTGCTTATGTGGTGGTGAGGAATCGAACCCAGGGCCTCAGGCATGCAAGGCAAGCGCTCTACCACTGAGCCACCTTCCTAGCCCACTGGAATTCTAAATAGTAATTTGAAAAATATTCAGGTAGGTCCCTTTAAATTACAAACATTCTTTTAAGTCCACATACAAATATTAAAGTACCAAAATAATTAAAAATAAACAAAATCTGTAAGTAGAGGTGTAGCTCAAGTAGTAAAAGCACCAGCCATGAGCAGAAAAAGTGGCAAAAGCTATCAAAAAAGGAAAGTTTGGGCTGGGAATATGGCTTAGTGGTAGAGTGCTTGCTTAGCATGCATAAAAGCCCTGGGTTCGATTCCCTAGTACCATATACACAGAAAAAGCCAGAAGTGGCACAGTGGCTCAAGTAGGAGAGTAATAGCTAGCCCTGAGCAAAAGAAGCTCAGTGTCAGAGCCCAGGCTCTGAGTTCAAGGCCCAGGGCTGGCACAAAACAAAAAACAACCAAAAAAAGGTAGAAAGTTTTGTGTGGAGCTTTTAAGTTTTATGGTTCTTCCTTATAACAAGTTTTCACTCAATTCTTACCTTTTTCTAGTAAAACAATAAAACATTCAACCTGTCTAAATCTCAAATCAACTTCAGAAAATCAGTAACCACCTAGCACCTCAGGCACCTAATTAGGTCAGCCATGATAAGCAACTCCTTTTAATACGCTTCTTTTGATAATTACAGAAAATTTATATATTCAGATTTAGCAGACATTACACATGTATGGGTTTCTAACAATAATTCTGTTAAATTATGGTACAACTTTGTATTGTAATAGAAAAATGTCAACATGTAGTTATTTTATACTAATTGCTTGGAAAATCTCCTGGTCACAAATACTGGAAGAGTTAAAAACAAAAACAAAACTCAAATTAATCACAATCTTGAACTGGTTTTATATGTGAATAAATGAGAATTTAGCTTATTGCATCCAATTAAATAGCAGTTGCCTTCGGGATGGGAAGGTGGCTCAGTGGTAGAGCGCTTGCCTTGCATGCATGAGGCCCTGGGTTCGATTCCTCAGCACCACATAAGCAAAAAGAAAAAAAAAAAGCCAGAAGTGGTGTTGTGGCTCAAGTGGTAGAGCGCTAGCCTTGAGCTGAAGAGCTGAGGGACAGCACCCAGGCCTAGAGTTCAAGCCCCAGGACTGGACCCAAAAGTAAATAAATAAATAAATAGCAGTTGCCTTAATAAATTAAGAAGGAGCAAAGTTAACTTCATCTTTTCATCCTGTAAACTCTAAGAATAAAAAGGCATATAGATGCTCAATAATTAAGTATTCGAATCCAGAATAACAGTAAATAGTAATATAAGGCCATAATATTAAGATAATCTAAAAACTCTACTTAAGATCCAAAGGGTAAGCTATCTCTTAAAACAAAACAGCAGCATACCTTGTCATCCCCAGGGCAACGATATAAATTCTGGAAAGTGCTAATGATGTTATTACTAAATCTGGGTGCAAACACATCCTTTTCTTGACCAAACTGATGTCGGGACTGTCGCACAATGGAGTCAATAACATAGAGTCCTGGTACCTTATATTCTGGCTTGCACTGTTGAGAAAAAACAAAGGAGTAACAAGGGAAGAAAATAGAAGTAAAATTCTTGATAGACAAATCTTACACAATTAAGAAGTATTGCTCATGTTGTAATGAATATTCAGACATTGCTTATTCTAAACCATCTGTCTCTAGAAAGGCATTGGCTACACCACATATATTCAGTTAGCTGCCAGTCCCCCATGTTCCAAAATAGTACTGGGCATAACTGGCTTAAATGAAAAAAAAAATCTGATAAAGAAGATTCTGTTATAATGCTTAAAACTGTTTAATGTTTTACAAAAGCAACATGGAAGAAGCAAACTCAGGAGAGGATTCTAGAAGATGAATCGTTGCATGTACTAGATTTCATCTGAAGCATGAAAAAAAGAAGTTTCTATACTAAAGGGTCAAATTGCAAATTATGACATATATTGCTTTCTGCACTTTACTATTTATTTCACAACAAAAATAATATAAACACCCCTAGCTTCTTAAGTCAAACACAACAGGTAATGGTTCATCATAATGATCCAGAATCATACGAAATATAAGTGTAAAGGGCAAAGAGTGTTTAATAAAAGTACACATGGGAAGTGAGGGTTGGCAAGTTGCTCCTTTCAGACATCATGCACCACCCTCAGGTTGAAGGAGTACCCATGGTAAAAGCTCTTCTCTCCAATAAGCCACTAGAAAACTGGAAGTGGAGCTATGGCTCAAGCAGTAGACCCCTCGACTTGAGCTGAAGAGCTGAGGGATAGCACCCAGACCCAGAGTTCAAGCCCCACAACTGACAAAAAAAAAGTGTATCTTCAGTTAAACAAGACAAGTATAGGGAACTGCTGGCTTTCACTATGGACGGATGCCACTCTTCCTTTGGGGAAGTAACAAAGGGCAAAACAACAACAACAACAACAAAAACACTAAAGATGAGAAAGTGTTTTGATCTCATTAAATATATTCACTGCAAAGTATCAACTACTACATAAAACTATCAGATCAAGTACCTGGAAAACTGAAAACCTGCATTATAGTAATTCTTAGAGTATATAGTGCAATTTTTGCAAACATAATTACTGAACATTTATTACATTAAAATGACAATAAGCAAACTACTTTCCCTGAAGTCACTGATGTAACAATGTAGTAGTAAACCTAAAGGGGGTGACCTATAGCCTACCCAGTGGTAGTTCATGAGCAGAGCGTAGAAAGCCTGTGTTAGGGTACCTAACAGCAGACACTGTGCCACTGGATGTAGCTAATTAAAATACAGCATACAGACTGTATAAAAATAAACAGTACTGAATGACAATATTCAATTGTATTCTTAATTTACTGGACAGATTTATTTGCAGTACTCATTCAAAAAGACAGATCTCACAGTTGGCTAAACTCTATGTATTTTAACAATGGAGTGAAAGATTTCACTTCTGCATTTCAAACTAGCATGGTTAGATAAACGTGATACAAAGCCAGCAAGTCCAGAGGTATCAGATTCCAAATACAATTTATTCTTGATGATTCAAGATAATTAAGAGGCTGGGAATGTGGCTTAGTGGTAGAGTGCCTGACTAGCACGCATGAAGCCCTGGGTTCAACTCCTCAGTACCAATAAACAGAAAAGGCCAGAAGTGGTGTGGCTCAAGTGGTAGAGCGCTAGCCTTGAACAGAGAGGCTCAGGGAGAGAACCTAGGACCTAAGTTCAAGCTCCAAGACCAGGGGGAAAAAAGTTGATAGCTAATGTTAGTACAGGGTGGTCTTGAAAATGTCCTAGTATCTGTTTGTGGTCTGGGTCTTTGCTCATGTGTTTCATAAAGGTAAAATACAATCAGAGACTATAACATTTTTTTGTTTTTTGGCCAAACTCATTATGACAAAAACTAATGGCTGAAGTATTTGTTCAAGTAGTTTTTCTCTTGCCTAGAGGACATCATCTTTATTGTTTTTGTTTTTTTTTTCCCCTTGGGAGGAGGATGAGGAATTGGACGCCCAGTGGGCGCGCGGGATGGAAACCGACTGCAACCCCATGGAGCTAAGCAGTGTGTCGGAGATCATCTTTATTGTTAATTCTTCAAAACAACACAAAGAATCACAGATAATACACTGTCTAACAGCAGACACACTTCTCTCTGACTTGCATAATTTGGTTATGATGTATGAAAGGAATATAGAATAACATACTTACTCTAAAATATGAAATTAAAACATAATTTATTATCCCAGAGAAATGAAAACATATGTTCATCTCAAAACATGAATGAAAGTTCCTAGCAGCTTCATTCATAATAGCCAAAAGCTGAAAAGAGCAAGTGACCTTCAATAGGTGAATGCTTTTAATTGTGCTACATCCATCCATACAATATAATACTACTCAAAAATGAGAGCAAGTGTTTGGCTAGATGGCAAGGGAACTGTGCTAAAGCACAACATGACCACCTCAAAAGGATACATACGGGGCTGGGAAGGTGGCTCAGCGGTAGAGTGCTTGCCTTGCATGCATGAGGCCCTGGGTTTGATTCCTCAGCACCACATAAGCAGAAAAAGCTGGAAGTGGCGCTGTGGCTTAAGTGGTAGAGTGCTAGCCTTGAGCTGAAGAGCTGAGGGACAGCACCCAGGCCAAGTTCATGCCCCACTACCAACCTCCCCCCCCAAAAAAAGATATGTCCTATGATTTCACTTATACAATGAATAGTAGATTAGTGACTGCCAAATAGCAAGGATGACAGAAGAGCTGAGTGAAGCTTGATACAAGGAAACAGAGATCTGGTGGTGAGGTTTTGGTTACGCAGTAGTTACATGAGTGCAGATTCAGTCAAGCTGCACAGAACTACAGAAACAATTGAGTCTATGCTAAGCTATTAAAAAATGATGTTATGTCAAGAAAGTGACTGCCTATATTAATATAATAATACTGAACTAGTTATACACAACATTTATTATTTGAAAAGACTAGGAGCAGAAATCTTGTGGACATTGGACTTTTTTGTATTTTGGGATTTTTCAGCGTATGTGCATACAATCGAAGGTGTAATTTTCCAATTCTGTTGTGCTAGTGGAATTCAGGAGTTTGGATTTTCAGACTAGACTGGTTCAGCCTGTGTAAGATGAAATGAGGCAGAGGTTCCATGCAACCTCCTGTTATGATCTACGCTTCACTGAGTGTCAATTACAAGTAAATCTGCAATTACATATACAACTTAATTTAACCATTGCACAGGTCCATTATTTAATCTTTGGTTTAAATAGGGTAAAGAAACAATTAAAATTTTCCTGAGACAGAAACCTGCTTCTGCAGATTATATATACAATTATCTCTCCCTAGGTCTTCCAAGGTAAATAACTTACTAAAAGTACTTCTGCCGGGAACCAGTGGCTCATGTCTGTAATCTTTGCTACTCAGGAGGTTGAGATCTAAGGATAACAGTTCAAAGCCAGCCTAGACAAGAAAGGCCATGATACTCTTATCTCCAAGTGGCTCCAAGTGGCTCAAGTGGTAGAGCGCTTGTTTTGAGCTGAAGAGCTGAGGGACAGCGCCCAGGCCCAGCGTTCAAACCCCATGACTGACCAAAAAGGCCAAAAATAAAAGGTAAAACACATTTATTCATAAATTTTCTTCTCAACTCTTACTGTTCAAACTGATTTCTAAAGGAAAAGCACAGGCATCATCTAGAAACTCTTAGAAACAGAGAATCTCAAGTGCCTCCAACACTCAGTTGGTCAGAATTTTCATTGTTATAAGATGCTTATATAATTCTGAGACACAGTTAAGATGTAAGAGGTACTGATTTAGATTTTAGAACCTTTTTTTTTGGGGGGGATGGGGGGGTCCAGTCATGGGGCCTGGGCAAATTTTAAGATTCTAAAGTCTGGGCCTCATGCATGCGAGGCAAGCACTCTACCACTGAGCCACCTTCCCAGCCCCTGTGAAACATTTTTTGATAACTATTTTTATTCCACAGTTTGACTTAATAATATGTTTAACCTTCACTTTAAACATTAACAAAACTTAAAGAAGATATTCTAGTCTCCTGAAATTGGTTACGAAAACATCCCTAAGTGCAGCAAGACGGCTGCTTGACTTTATCTCCTTCTCTCCCCTACCTGGGACAACAGAGCCATCCACCTATGTAAGATGTACCCTGGTGGATTACAGTCAGTGAATCAGAAGAAAAAAACAGCTAGAATGCAGTATGCTTATCAATGCCTATATAAAGACAGAGCTGCTTTCAAAACATACAATGTGAAATAGCCATTAAAGACGATAAAAGAATTTCCTTAAATGGCAAAAAATTTGCAATTCCATTAAAAATTAATCACATTGATCTAACTTTCTTCAAGGGACAGATGCTTCACTAATCCAATGGAAATGTAGCAAAACCCAGAATTATACAAATGTGACTATATAATTTTAATTATTTTTTGTTTCATTTTGGTCTTTTGCCAGTCCTGGGGCATGGACTCAGGGCCTGGGCACTGTCCCTGAGTTTCTTTTGCTCAAGGCTAGCACTCTACCACTTGAGCCAAACCTGAGCCATAGCACTACTTCCAGCTTTTTCTGTGTATGTGGTGTTAAGGAATTGAACCCAGGGCTTCATGCATGCTGGGCAAACTACCACTAAGCCACATTCCCAACCCTAATTTTATTTCTTAAAGGTCAAATAAGTGATCATTTTAATAAGTTTATCAAAACAACTTAAACACAGGTATTTTACTTTAAAAAGAACAGAGACATTAATACCTCATTATACTGCATTTAGCCCTTGTATTAAAAAGTACATACTCACTTTCTGAATGAATTTCTCAACACTTTGGACCACATGTTTATAAAACTGAAAGAGAGGGAGAAAGAGCAGTTTTGAAATCAAAGTAGATTAGAACTTCCTGCTAACCACTATCTTTACCAGTTCCAAAGGAACTCAAACTATTAATTGTGGAAAACATCACAAGACAAGCAAACACAACACTTAAAGAGCTAAGTTCACAATTATTTTACGGCTTATTTCAGTTTTTTCAAAGCTAAAAACATTAAAGACAGTTTTTAATAAATCAAAGTAGTATAGTGTATCATGAAAGCCAAGATTTAGACTCCCAACTGACAGAAATCTGAACTCAAAAGATTTCTTTTAGCAAAGTGATTTCTCTTAAGACTATGACATCAGAAAATGGGAAATTTAAGCCAGGCATAGGTGGCTCATGCCTGTAATCCTAGCTACTCAGGAAGCTGAGATCTGAGGATCATGGTTCAAAGCCAGCCCGGGCAGGAAAGTCTGTGAGACTCTTATCTCCAATAAACCACTAGAAAACTGGAAGTGGCACTGTAGCTCAAGTGGTAGAGTGCTCGCCTTGAGCTGAAGAGCACAGGGATAGCGCCCAAGACCAGAGTTCAAGCCCCATGATTGACCAGAAAAAAAAAAAGGGAAATTTAGATTGTGTACTTAATTGGGTCTTTTTGTTAAAAAGAAATTCTGCTCAACAGTTCTATAAAATGTCCCAATTATTAATTCACAGAAAAAAAATAATACTATATGTTTATATGGTCTCAGGATTGTAATCATAGAAATCAAATCATAATGGAGACTAATATAAACAGTACTAAGAGTAAATTCATTCTCTGTTAGCTTATCAGATACATTGAAAACATGGCATCATTGAAGAAATCTTTGGCTTAATGTGCTGTAGCCATGATTTTCTTCAAGAAAAGGATTTTGAACTACAATCACCTAAGACCCTAACTGTGTTTCTAGTAAGGGTTGCCTATTAAAAACAAACAAACAAAAAAAAAACCTGTTCAATCAACAGAATTTCTCCCAGTAATAACTAGTGGATATAAATTTGCTAAATTTATCACTATTGTCAAAAGATCATTTAACTATTTGATGCTTCTGGTTATGGCTTCTTTGTAATTTAGAGTAGTTAGTCACTCATAATACTCCTAAGTTACTATCCACTTAGATATTAATTGAAATAAGCACTCATTCATCCTCATTTTGAAGAGCCCTATGAAAGCAGGGAGACTTCATCTGGGGACAAGAACTTCTTGGGAAGGTATCCATGGTTGAACATTACCCAGGAAATCTCAGGCAAATTTCTGTGCAGAAGTGCATTTTCCATGAAGGAATCAACCTCTCCCTGAGATTTTCGGCAATGCCAAGACAACATATGGTCAAAACCTACCACATCAGAGCAATAAATAAATCTGGCTCTTCTCACAGTTCAAGTACCTTACACACACAGTTAGGTCCATTAATTTCCAATAATGGCCCATGTTCAAATACGTATAGAATCAGCCAAAAGAACATGAATACTTTTTATCTAGAAAGTGTTTATCAACTTTTCTTTAAGATTCTGGAAAGTCAACAGTGTTAAAACTATGAACTCTGACCTGCCTAGCTGCGTAAGGAATGATAGTTACTTCCAAATTTGTGGAAATCTTGAAAACAGTATTTCAAACACTGTGTGTGTCTATGTAGGAGACTAGATGACAGGCTTTTGTTGTTCTCCACAATGAACAAGCATGAATACTGTAAAGCCTGTGCTCTATAAAAATCATTTGCCTTCTACATATTAGAGAGGCATTTGAAAACCCAGCTGTCACGTGCAGTACTCACCTTAATAGCTTTGATGGCCGCTTTTGTAATCTGGGTCATTTTCGCTTTAGAAATGGGTGGTTTATAGTCATTCAAGGAATACAACTGAAGGGGAAAAAAAAGAAGGAAAAGCTGTAAATCTAGCAGAACTAAATATCTTCAAAGCATAAAAGGAAAGGGTTTCTGTTCTAAAAAAAAAACCAAGCTCAATATCATTTCCCATCAAGAAACTTCATTAAAATTACAATAAGCTGTCCCTCCATATTTACTTGCTGATAAGCAAAACAGACAATAACAAGTGTTAGCAAGGATGGGGAAGAACTGAAGTCCTCAGGCATTGCTGGTGGGAAGTAAGAGTGTAGGAACTTTACAAATCAGTTTGTAAGAAACTTAAAACACAGTAACCACATGACCAAGCCAATTCTACACCTACATATACATTCAAACTCGCTGAAAACAAACATCCACATAAAAACTGGGCAAGGCAACATGTCTCACACCATAATACTAGCTACTCAGCAGGCTGAGATCTGAAGATCCTGGATCAAGGCCCACCCAGGCAGAAAAATCTGAAAAACTCTTGCTTTCAAGTAAACAATAAAAAATAGAAGTAGACTGGTGGCTTAACTGGTAGAACTTTATGAGAAAAAGCCAAGTGGGAGTAGCAGGCCCTAAGTACACACACACACACACACACACTGGTGGCTTAACTGGTAGAACTTTATGAGAAAAAGCCAAGTGGGAGTAGCAGGCCCTAAGCACACACACACACACACACACACACACACACACACAGAAAAAGCCAAGTGGGAGTAGCAGGCCCTAAGTACACACACACACACATATATGAATGCAGCATCACTAACAAAATACAAGTCATTTAAAAAAGAATAACTCAAAGATCCATCAAATAGGAATGAAGGAATAAAATGTATAATATCTATTCAATGAAATATGAAATTCTGGTTACACAAAGGAATGGACAACTATATTAATATATGATATGATATGCTACAATATAAATGAACATAAATGAATCCTAGAATTTTTTTTTTAATGGAGTATCACTCAATTGCCCAGGCAGGCCTTACAATGGCAATCCTCCTGCCTCTGTAGATTATAGGCTGGGAATACAGGCATGGAACACTGATATTATCCTAAATTAAAGAAGAAAATTCAGAATGGATACTAATAATCACTGGTTTGTGTTTTGTTTTTGGCAATACTGGGGTTTGAACAGGGACTGAGCCACGAGCTAGCTGTTTTTTCTTTCTTTCTTTTTTGCTTAAGAGAAGGAAATACCCCTCCTTACTACTAGGGCTTGAACTCAGGGTCTAGATGCTGTCCCTTAGCTTTTTCACTCAAGGCTGGCTACTACTTGATTCACAGCTCCCTTTCAGCTTTTGCTGATTAATTGGAGATAGGACTTCCATGGCTTTTCCTACCTAGGCAGGTAGCCTGAGCTTCAGATCTCAGCCTCCTGAATAGCCAGAATTACAGGTCATCAGCCCCAGCTTCCAGATACTTTGTAAGAATTTTAAAGATAAGACCCATGCCGGGCGCTGGTGGCTCACGCCTGTAATCCTAGCTACTCAGGAGGCTGAGATCTGAGGATTGCGGTTCAAAGCCAGCCCGGGCAAGAAAGACCGTGAGACTCCTATCTCCAATAAACCACCAGAAAACCGGAAGTGGCACTGTAGCTCAAGTGGTAGAGCGCTCGCCTTGAGCTGAAGAGCTGAGGGACAGCGCCCAGGCCCAGAGTCCAAGCCCCACGACCGACAAAAAAAAAAAAAAAAGATAAGACCCATAAGATATCTGTCTCTCTCTCCCTATCAGTGTAATCATCAGGTACAAAATAACACCATATTGTATGGCTTATCATAAACCAGGTAAAACAAAGATCAATTTCTCAGAATTTCTTAGAGGACCCACAGAAGATCTACTCATGTCCTCTCCCACTAGATAATAAGAACAGACTTTTTTGTGTGTTGAGATTTTACTTTTCTCCTTATATTTAAACTGAACTGTTATTGCCTGAGACGAGATAGGTGTTGTAAATTAAATCAATATAAATAATCATATACAAGACATAGCTGTGCATAAGCTTGGTTGGAAGACTTGAATTTTAATTCCAACTATCTGATCTTATTAACAGTTTTTAAGGCTGGAGCTAGTGACTCATGTCTATAATCCTAGCTACTCAGGATATTGAGACATGAGTATTGCAGTTCAAAGCTAGCCCAAGCAGAAAAGACTGTGAGACTCTTACCTCCAATTTAACCACCAGAAAATCAGGAATGGTGCAGTGGCTCAGAGTGGTAGAGTGCTAACCTTGACCAAAAAGAACCCAGGGTCAACACACAGACCCTGAGTTCAAGTCCCATGACCAACAAAAAAAGTTTTGAAGGGCTGGGAAGGTGGCTCAGTGGTAGAACGCTTGCCTTGCATGCATGAGGCCCTGAGTTCGATTCCTCAGCACCACATAAGCAAAAAGAAAAGAAGCCGGAAGTGGCGCTGTGGCTCAAGTGGTAGAGCACTAGTCTTGAGCTGAAGAGCTGAGGGACAGCACCCAGGCCCAGAGTTCAGGCCCCACGAACGGACCCCCCAAAAAAGAGCTCTCCGACAACACCCAGGCCCTAAGTTCAAGCCCCATGACTGACCAAAAAAAAAAAGTAACATAAAGGTCTTTGGCCTTCTTACCTCTGGTCCTTCTTATTGACAATCTTCTAAATCACCATGAGGTTAAACTTGATGCTTGAACTCTTAATAGCATGTTTTGCTTCACAACAGGAAATAATGTAACTGCTTACACGTGATGGCACATGTCCTATATAGCTCCCCTCTCCAAATAACTGCACTGCTGCTGAGTGTGGGTGGGTTTTATGAACTGGATGGGTGGGTTTCCAGTGGAGCAGATCAGGAGGTAGGATATAAGAGGGGCCCATGGCTAAGAGTTGAGCATGACCCCAGAAACTGGAAAAGTGTCAGAAAGCTAGTATACTAAAACAAACCTGGGATGTTTTGGGTTTTGTTTTTTTTTTTTTGTCATTTGTCTAGCATGTGAATGGAATTTTAGGTTTTCATAAATATTTTTGTGAAAATTACTTTTACTTATAATTCAAAGTCAGAAGTTAAAATTTAAGATGTTTATCTTCTGGGTGCTGGGGGCTCACACCTGTAACCCTACCTATTCAGGAGGCTAAGATCTGAGGATCACAGATTGAAGCCAGCTCGGTCTTGTTCTCCAAGTAAGCCCCAGAAAACCGAAGTGGAGCTGTGGCTCAAAGTGCTAGAGCTATAGTCCTGAGCAAAAAAGCTCAGAGACAGTGCCCAAACCCAAGTTCAAGTCCCACAACTGAAAATATTTTTTATGTTTTTCTGATCATTTAAAAAGCAAAAAAACAGAAATCCACTATTTTGGGAAATGGAGGTATGTTTCAGTAGAGTGCCAGCTATGGGCAAAAAGCAAAGCCAAAGCATTCAAGCCCTAATACTAGCAGTAGGTTTGTTCTTGTTGTTGTTTTAAGATTTTAGACATATGAGTTAAAAGTAAATATTCAGATTTATTTCACTAGTTATGTCTTTTTGTTGATATTTTTGAGGCAGGGAGGATTTCACTATAAGGTCCAAGCCACCCTCAAACTTGCTTTGTGTGAATTCCAGATTGGCATGAAACTCACTATCTATACACCTAATGCTGATTACAGGTGTGTACTAACACATCTGGCTTGATAAAATTATCTTTGCTGACAAGAGGGCTTGGTGTAGACTTTGTGCTTAGCATGCTCAATTGGTCTCATTTCCTAGCACCAAAAAATAAATAAGCTAACACAATTACTATGACAAATTCTTGTAATTAGTTATCCTTTCCTACAGGCTATATTTTCATATGAATAACTAACATATTATATCATTCAGTAGAATATTCCAAATCTTTCAAGCATGGCAACTGCCTAAGGTTAACATTACGATTTTGATTAGTGTTTAAAAAGCCGGGCGCTGGTGGCTCACGCCTGTAATCCTAGCTACTCAGGAGGCTGAGATCGGAGGATCGCGGTTCAAAGCCAGCCCGGGCAGGAGAGACCGTGAGACTCCTATCTCCAATAAACCACCAGAAAACCGGAAGTGGCGCTGTAGCTCAAGTGGTAGAGCGCTCGCCTTGAGCTGAAGAGCTGAGAGACAGCGCCCAAGCCCAGAGTTCAAGCCCCACGACCGACCAAAAAAAAAAAAAAAAAAGAAGGCAATTATTTTAGAATCTCAACTGCATTGGTAATAAAGAAAAACTATAACCAAGCCTCCTTCCAAAAAGAAATATTAAACAGCTAAATTTAAACCAAAAAAAAAAAAAACCACCTATCTGTATAAGTTCTTTAATTAAATCCAAAAAACATACCCTTTCCAAATCCTTGTATTAGAGGGATTAAAATACTCTAAAAAAGCACATGGGCTTTATGGTGCACATCAACATGGAAACAGAACAGAAACACTTACTGGGGAAGGGCTTGCTTTCTTCTCTTGCACTGCCTCACTCATGGTGGAAGAGAGGGAGTGAGTGCACCCTATAGCCTGTAGGATATGGGAGTCCCAGAGAAAACAGGAGAAATTTGAGTATGAACGAACCTGAATTTTGGGCCCATCCGAAATTGGTGGCTGCATTAAAAAGATCCACAGTAAAAGCTCTAAAAACTAAATTCCATGTCAAGTACTACCCAACTCCTGGACTAAGTCATGAATGGAATGTTTCTAGATACATCTATAAGCAGAACAAGCACTTTCAAAACCTGCAATTACACTGAAACCACAAAAAAGGAAGACAGACCTTGCATCTTGAACTGAACTAAGTCCATAGGCTCATCAACAATTACCAGCAGTCTTTAGACAATTTAAACTTGAGGTCTTTTGACATGAAGGTGAAAATGTCCACTATGGAGGTGAAACCCACTGAACTATCAACATGTGTGTGTGTGTGTACACATGAGGAAATCTATTCACTGAATAAAGGAGAAGACAATGATACCAACACTAGAATTACAGAAAGACTTTAAGGAAGCTACAATCATCTTCAATAAGGAAAATGGGAACACTTCTGAATAGAGATGCTTTCA